AGGCTCTTTTTATGGAGTCAAGATACACATCCCTCGTTCACCTACAATATGTTAATACAAAAGGATGTTTTAAGAAACATTAATTACATTTAGAGACCCTAAGTTAGTTAAATGTTAAGTTATTAAAAAAAATTAGCAAGTAACATTATCAACAGAAAACCTTAAATTACCTCTGCACAAAATTTGGAACTTTACACTTAGTGATGCACCATTATACAATTTTAAGTAATTTTTTTTACAGTAATATGAAGCTGTATAATATGCAATATGTAATTTGAACACATAAAGCATTAAATACTGAGTCAAACATGATTTCTGGCATTAAGTCAGTAAAAAAGCACTATTTTTAGAAATTAAGATTTTCGAAATTAAGCAGTGTCCTACAGTTCTAAACATTTTCCCACTCTTAATTACATGGTGCAGCCACAATAGTTGCATCAGCTGTAGTATCAGTCCTTGGTAGATCAACCTTTTCTGATTAGTTCTTGTGTTGCTTTTGAAAACGTGATAAACAAATGATCAAAAACCATAGGACTGTAATACTGACAGGTAATTAGCACATTATGTTGAAACATCTTCATAGCTTGTATGTGAATGCTTCAAAATGATCTCTTATATGGGGAATCATTTCTTTTTTCACTGCTTTCTTCTCCATAATTTATGCTTAGAATTATTACATCAGTATACAGGGTGTATCAGAAAAATGTATACATACTTTGAACTGTCACAGAAAACTTATTTTCGAGCCTACAAAGTTAAAGTTTTGGGAAATCTAAGGCTATAGTCCAATTTAGAAAATAAGTGTATTTTCTGGTCAAACTTAATGTTGCAAATGGTATTTAATGTAAATGTTCAAAATAGTGCCCTTCAGCATCGACACATTTCTGTGTAAAAGTCACGACCGATTCCGTCCTTTGCACCAAAGTGTCCAGTGGGATTTTTGTCCCCACTGCTTGTATTTCATCGTAAAGTGTATTAAGGTTACATGGTTTACCCATCTTTTGCTGTGCCCAATTAAAAAGATGAATTGTTGTAAGGTCTAGAGAGCATGCAGGAAGTTTGATTGGTCTCCTGTGTCCTATCCACTGGGCTGGTACATTTTGATCAAGGTATGTTTGCACATCCCTATGAAAGTGCGGAGGGGCATCATTGTATTGGTAATAAAATGTGGAATTATCATACATTGCAAAATGGCAGAGAAAATAGAATCAGTAAGCGCTGTTAGGTAAGTTACTCCAATTACAGTACCTTTGAAACAGAAAGGCCCAATGAATACCCTAAGAGACATACCACATGGCACATTCAGACCAGGAAAATTTGCAGCCTTTCCAATAGTAATGTGTAGATTATATTAAACACAGTGCAATCAGTTATGCCTGTTGACAGTTTCATTAAGTTTAAATTGTGCTTCGTCCGACCAACAGTGCTACCCATAAATCCCAGTTCATGTGTAACCATCTTCTGAAACCATTTCCAAAACTATACCCGACTATCGCTCAAAATCTTAGCTGCTCGATTTTTTTTTTTTAATTATTAGATGCAGTAAGAGATGGGATGTACCTTTATAAACCACGTAACCTTGACACGCTTTGGGATGAAATTCAAGCAGTATATGCAAAATTCCCTTAGGACATTTTGGTACGAAGTACAGAATCAGTCGTGACTCGTACTCAGAAATGTATTGGCTTTGAAGGCCACTATTTTGAATATTTACTTTAAACACTATTTGGAACATTAACTTTGACCAAAAAGTACACTTGTTTTTCAAATTAGATTATAGCCTTATTTTTCTCAGAAATATAGCCTTGTAGGTTAGAAAATAAATTTTCTATGATAGTTTAAAGTGTATATACATTGTTCTGACACACCCTGTATTTAACTTTGCATTCTTTCACGCATCACAAAAACATTCATGAACTAAATTATAATACTAAGTTCAATTAATTTCATTTAAAGAATCATAGTCAGTTCTGAACAGCTTATCTAAGAAAGCTATAAGAACAGATGGATGTTAGCTAATATTTCTTGTGTAGAGGCAGCATAACCCAAGAGCATGTGGATTGGTGCAAAAATTCTACTTAATTTGAAAGGTATACATTCTTAAAAGAATCGAAATGGCATTTCTTTCAATGCTTTTAAATGTTAGATAAAAATTTACTTCAAAATGTTATTACCTAAAACAGGTTATTAACAGGCTAGCCTGGTTTCTCTAATACAGTGACGGCACATCACTTCCTTCACAGAGGTATTGATTAGTAAAATATTTTTGCTCTAATCAATGCCTTTAATGCCAAAGTAATGATTAGGGCTAATAGCTTTAGCCCTAATCAGCCAGATATTTAGATTATAAATATTAACCAGTCAAATATTTACGAATTAACTGCTTGTAGTAACTTTGTTTTATACTTAGAAAACTTGCTTGAAGATCCAAATATTGGAAGTTCATAACACCTCTGTTTATAAAATGAAAATTTTTCAAGGATAGTTATTTCAATCTCTTCACCGCATTCAGTTCTTGGTGAAATTTGTGTGGTTTCCTGCTTATTCTTACTCACTTATATGTATGTTTTTTTCAGCATTATGTTTTCAAAACATAATTACTTGAGCAATACATAATTTAATTGTATGGGATTTCTATATTGGTGAACAGTATTCCACATTTCTGAAAAAATTATTAGGAAATAAGTATTCTGTTTTGTTGTTTGACAAATCCCAGATATGTATTACAAAAATAAAAATTTTTATTTTAAAAAAGTGCTGAACATGCCAGAAGTTAATAGAATAAGATTAAACATGTTGCTAAAAGAGCATAGCATAGCATAGATTGAGGACATGGTTACTGCTGTGAGGTACATATTTGCCAGCAAGTTATGCCCATATTTTGCAAGCAAAATTCGATGAAATAGTCAATATATAAAGTATCATATTTCACATTCTGTGTAATTGTTGAGGAATTAATGGCATACATAGTACAAGCATAAAAAATTGTTAAAATTTTAATAAATTTTACATGCTTAAAATTATGTTAATATGTATCCAGAAGATTTGCATGATAATACATATATCTATGTTAGAACTTTTTATATGCCCCATTTGCTTTAACAACTGGAATCTAATACTATAAGCAAATCATTTATGTAACTTTTTTAGTACTATATCATCAAAAATATTAGAAAATCACAATTTTTAGCATCTTTCAGCAAACTTACTTAGTATAGTAAGTTTATTTAATCTGTCTGCATATTTCCTCAAATGAAAGTAATTTTTAATTAGTTAATAAATAAGGACAAAATTCATTTTAATTGTCACTTGATATATATATGTGTGTGTGTAATATAGCTATTAAATCATTTTCATTCCAAATTAATATGTTTACCCTCCAACTGGTCAAAAGTTTGGACCTAAAATTCAAAATGAAGGTGCATCATTTGGTCCGAATAAGTTGATCACATGTGCAAATGACTGATGGTTATCGACAGAGAATGGAATATTACAACTGTAAAAGAACTTTTTTATTACTACATGAAAAATCTGAGTTAATAATGTCTTTCTTATTCACCTGTCTTCTATGCCACCTGAAGATCTGTCTTCATCCTTTTTCTGCATCTTATTTAGTATTTTACAAGTGGAGCTGAATATCTAGAATATGACTTCTATAACTTGTATGTCAAAGGCTAAGTCTAGCAGTTTTTTATTTTTAGTACTCATATCATCACTGCACTTTTTCTGGTGCTATTACATTCTGTGGGGTTTAGCACTAACAACATTTATGTAACTGAACACGCTTTATAAGGTTTGTAACCTATTTTGTTATTTCTCTGCATTTAATTATCTCTGCAACCCCAAATTTTATCTGTTACATACCATTTCTATAGTCTGACAGGCATTTCAAGATCATACTAACCCCCCTCTTGAGGTGTGTTATCACAGCGTAGAGGAAATTAAAAAATTTTAGCGAAGCAGTTATGGTTATGTGGCATGGTTTGGGAATGGAGAGCCTTGAAGTGCCTATTCTTAAGTAAGAGACTGTAGAAGTAGACATAATACACTGTAATTATGCCATTAACAGTTGTCAAAAAATTACATTGAAACTTTCTTTCTGACAAAATCCTTAAATATGAAATTAGGTCTGAAATAAGTAAATCAAGCTGTGACTGGTGAACCAGATTGGCTTTGATATAATATCTGACAGTACAATGTTTTATGAATGAGACAGTTATAAACTAATTAGAATTTATTTTTGATTGTTCATTTAGTCAGTTATGACTTATCGCAAAATGTCTGCGTTGATGCAAAATATGCAAGAGCTATCTACCTGAAGGGAGAATGGCTCTCTATTTTTTTTCCTTTAAAGATTAATTTTAAGCCCATATTTTTGTAGAAGTATGGTGATTTAAATTTTAAAAATTAATATATGTTTTCCATTATTATGATTACGTTTTGGTTAATCAATTATCTTGAATATATATAAATTAAAATTTATACAAAACTTATTCATTAAAAATAATTGCATAAATTAGTAAGTATTATTAATTAGTACATCATTTAAATACTTTTTAGTTTTTTACCAGTTGCCTTTACTAAGTAGCTTCTGTCACCAACAAAGGAAAAACTATTTTATGTTTGGCCCTATTAATACATTTTACTGGAGCGTTTAATGTGTTTCTATTCTTTTACAAATTTGCCTTTAAAAAAATAGTTGTGCTACTTTATTCCAAAGTATGCAGTAAAGCTTATAAGTAATTTTGTTTTCATACAACTTACTACATATTTAAATTTGCCTTTACTTTTGTAGGAGAAAAAGATCTAAATCCTTGCCTTGATGATAATTTTCTACTTATGTTCTTGCGAGCAAGGAAATTTGACTGCTCGTCAGCTACAAATCTTATAAAGAAATATTATTCTGCCCAATTGAATTATCCAAGCATGTTTAGAAATTACACACCAAAATCATGCATGAATGTTATGAAGTGTAATCTTCATTATTTCTTGCCATACAGAAGTCCAGATGGCTGTGCTGTTTTATTATCAAAATTTGGTAAGAAATTGTGTTAATAATTTTAAAATTTTAACATCTAGAAAGATTGTTCATGTTTTGTTGTCTTTCTGATTTTTTTTAATATAAAAGCAGTTTATGACTTCTGAAACTTTACTTATCTAGCTCATTTTTCACTGATGTTAATAGTTGTATCTTAAATTATATGTTTTTTAAAATCATTTTTATAATTTGCATATAGAAAATTGAGCTAAAAACTGAGTTTAAAACTAAGATTCTAAAATGTTTGCAATTTTTTTAAGTGTTTAATCTTTAAAAACGAGAAGTTAAATTTTTCATTCATAGTTCAGTGACCAGTGTATTGCAATTTTATCAATTTTTAAATTAGTCTGTATCTATATATGTATCGTGCTTATTCTGATTTATATATTGAATACTTATTTACTAGCCATAGAGGCAATTAAAAGAATTATTGCTAGTAATAATTAAATATTTATTACTAGCAATAAAGGCAACTGAAATATCTGTTGTAAAATAAGTTTTATCATAATTAAATCATCATTATAGGGCAAATATGGAGACTTTATTGAAAATTCCTAAATTTTTTCCCCTATGCATTGCTGATTAGCTTGCAAAAATATGACTGTTTTATGTACTGTCTGACCCTTTTTTGATTAGTGAATGTATCATTTATGAGCTGTCAATTTAATGAAATACAAACAAATAATTTCTTTTTGCAAAATATTTTAAATTAAAATTTCCAGTTAACGAAATATTCCACTTTAACAAATGCTCATGTTTTCCTTTTTTCTAAAGTAGGGCCATTCCTAGGCCTTTGGCTGCCCGCATACTTTCCTGGGATTTCTGCCCCCAAATTAAAAAAAAAAAGTGCTCATGTATAAAATTTGCATTGCATACTCACTAAGTACTTGCATATGACAAATTGTATAAAAGTACTTACAATGAATTTAATGAATTTAAAATATATTGACGTGGTATCACTAGAATCCAGCCACCCCTGATTTTCTCTGCACACGTACTTTTACATGCTGCAATCTTGCTAAGAACAACCTTGTTCTAATATCCAGTTTTCATATCACATTAAATTTAATAGATATGATAAAAGCTGCAATTTTAATAATTTAGAAAATTCAACTTTTATATGACTCTTATTTTCAATAAAAATATTCATTGAATCTTTAAGGACATTGCTACAGATTCCTCTTCTTTAGCATAAAAAATTTTAATAGGTAAATTACATATCTATAAAATCTTTCATATTTTTAAAATTTTTCATATTTAATTTAGTCAGTAAATCCAGTTTTTAAAGTATGTGACAGTTTTCATATCTTACAATATATATCTTTAATAATTGACAACATATGTTCAGCCTGCTACATTTATAGAATTCAAATCATTGCACACCTATGGGAATTTTGTATCCAATAATTTGAAAATTATCTTGTAAAATTCTGACTCTTTTTTTAGAGCTAACATAATTAAATATAGAATATTGTAAATTATTAAAGATGTCACATTTACATATCTAATATCAAGTACTTATGTATTAGTGCACCTACCTCGGTGTATTTTAGCAGTGTTTTTCCCCCTTACAGAAGGAAAAGGAGGACCATTTATAATTTTAAAATATTTATTACACACATACATATTATTTTATACATATTTTACATTTTAATTATGTATCTTAAAAAATCGATCCATAAACCTACTTACTTATCTAGTGGGTTTTTGTTTCTTTTATACTGGTAAAAATTTTATGGCAATAACTTTAAGAATAGATTCAAAGAAACTGCACTCTTCAGTGATTTTGCATTAAAATACTATTATTTTTATTGAAACTTTTCAGCAGTTTCTTCCATTGTTAGCAAATCCCACAAATATATAATTTAAATTTAAGACAAAAAATATCATGATAAATAATATAAAAAGAGTTAGAATACAATAAAAAGAATGAATACAAAAATAGTGAGATTGTTTTATTAAAATATATATATATATATATATGTGTGATATTTTCCAGCAGTTGTTATGAAGCTTGGCATTGCTTTTGCAGAGTGGTAAGGCGGAATCCAAATGACGAGACAAGATGATTTAACTTTTAATTGCACATCTTTATTCTATAGCTTTAATTCAATTTTCACCATAGATTATGCTGTACTTCATGTGAAATTCTCCATATTACATATTCAATAGTGGTTTAGACTAAGTATGATTGAATTTAAACTTTCTGCTTCATCACAATTTCTAACAAAGGAAAGGTTAAGCGGCAGCGAGATGTATAGCACAGGAGGAGAGGCGAGCTTCTGTCTGCAAAATGGCGCGCATTCATTATTTATAGTAGCTGTTATGTAATAAGCTAGAATGTTCTCGAAGGTACTGGTCTAGGGGGAGATCCGAAATTGTGGAAAGTTAATTAGAGGTTGCCTATTCGCGTAGAGCAAAGCCATCGTATTTTTTATATTTTGCATATATATATATGTAATAATAAAATTCCATAATCAAGAATACACTTAAAATTCTAACTGTATGTTCTTTTCATTCATTTTTAATGGCGACGTTCTCTTATTTGAAAGTACGTGGAATTAAATCCACAGCCCCATAGTCAAGTTGTTTTTCCCGCTTTTTCTACACGTACAGTTTTATAATGTTCTGGAAATATTTCAAGCGAACTGGATTGGATGACGAGGCTGACGTCATTTCTTGGAAGCTCCGCCTTTCCAGAGGCTATAAAATGACTCGCAAAAGGAATATCGGGGCTTTTTCTTAAATGTCACGATGCAGTAAACTTCATACAAAAAGTTATTAGTAATTCTTTTATTTACTCCGGATATCTGATTTTTGTAACTGCTTTTTTCTCCTGAATAATAAATAATGGATCCTGTTTTTTAAACTTATCGTCTGATTATTTAAGCTACGACTACATTTATGAGTCTTCAGCATTCTATTTATTCCGGACAAAAGCTGCAACATCACACACATATATATACAGTCAAAAGTCGTTAATTCGGACACCCATAATTCAGAATGATCTATAATCCGGACCTCAAAACTAAAAACTTTCTGCGCATGCGCCGCGTTTCACATGCGCATAGGCGTTTACGCGTGCGCGTGAGACCTTTTACGACTGCGCATATGAGTGTGCGCAAGTGCAGAATACGTTTTCGCGTGCACCTTTTATGTATAATGGACATATAAGCTAAAATTATCTAATTATCTATTTCAGTTAATGTTGATGATTGCGTTGTTCCTTAATTTTCGAATTGGATCCGGCTTATTATTTTTTGCAGACTGTAAGAGCAATTTTATAAAAGTAAGCTTAAACTTTCAATTAATATCAATAGAATTTCCAATATATATTTGTTAATATGTAAAAGGATCTAAAGCGAAAGTATGTTTTTTGAAATCTGAAATCTGTTATCAGTTTCACGCTGCTCGGCGGGGGGGAAACGCTGCGACGACGGGCGCATAATGAATTGGAAGTTGATCTGTCAGCACTATCCTTATCTTCAGCGCAGATGTTTTTATTTGTTTGGGGCTTATAATTCCTTACCAAATGTGTAATTTCATCTTGATATGCTCCGTCTTTGATATGATTTAAAACAAGTTCCTCGTCATTATAATTCGCTTCCGATAGCGAAGAAAGTGACAGAGGTTATTGAAAACGAAAAATTTCGATTGACAAATTAGTCGGTGTTCTCAACACAGCAATTACAGGACTTGAACAGCGGAACTTTGTAACTGAACAAGAAATTATGTCTGTTTAATAGAATTAAAGAGAAAGTATTATCACATGAAACGAAGCAAAACTTAAACAACTTACATTGAAAGAAATGTTTAATAAAGTAAACAAATAAATATTAAGCTTTTTCTTTTTGCAAATTTTGATACCCTTTAGATAATGATTGTTCTTTATTTCATAAATTATGGTTTCATATTATTAATTTTAGAATTTCTGCATGCCATCTTATGAGATTTAAACTGATGATCTATAATCCGGAAAAATCGATAATCCGGAATCGCCGAAGTCACAACGAGTCCAGATTAACGACTTTTAACTGTATATATATGTAAAAATATTATGTGCATGGTACCAGGGTTTGGCATATTCTGAAATTGTTGGCAACTTCTACTAAGATAGTTTGTCTAATATGCAAGTAGCTAATATAATATGTACTTAATATTATATTATTACGTACTATTATTTAGCTAATAAATAATAGATATATTAAAACAGAAGCTAATATTAATTCAAGTATTGATCGGAGCAGTCTAGACAGATTAAAATTTTCTAAAGACTAAATATTCTTTTTCTAATTCTATTTCTATAAAAATTCAAGAAGAAGATCTGCAATCAGAAATAAATGTCTAAACATGAGATATTGCTAAATGGGCTATTCAAGAGCATTGTCATTTTGGTATGTGCCCAGCTAACTGGAAAATTATCTACTATGTCAGTAACATAACATTTTGACTCTCTTCACAATAATCCAGATTTTTCAATTAACCTAATAGCATTGTATATTTTATTTCATCTTTTTATATGCCATCATCAAGATCAAACAATTAAAAAGAAACATTTTTTAATGAGAGTAGAACACCAGGAGTAATGATAGAGAGAGTCGGAGGTATTAATATATAATTAAGATCAAATTTCAGCACATCTTTATTCCTTTGAAGATATTCTTTGTTAACACTGCTAAATTTAGTATCCATTTAGCAAGAGAGTTTAAATAAGGAATCTTTTGTCACAAGAAAACAAGTCATTAATGAAGTACTATAAGTAATTTTTATTTTATTTCGGAGGTAATATAATTTCTAACACTTACATTACACCGAAAATGAAAGTATACTGTTCTTTTTTTTTTTTTTAATTATAATTATTAGGGGAGACCTAAACTCTGCATGTGAAACTGTATAATTCAACCCTGTGATGTGCAATGAAGGGTGGCTAAAACCTAGTGACTCAAATCGGTGTATTACATGGAAGATTGGCATGGACCCATGGCAAATTCCAGTTTCTGATGTGCGGTGTTTTGTTAGCACATTGCAGGTAATTATTATATATTTTGTATATGTATGAAAGTGATAAATATACAAAATTAGAAGATCTCTCATTTCAAAACATAAAAATAATAATGTCAATATTTTGATATAGATGTAAATGAGAAATGATTATATTTAATAAAAACAGTGCCTATCAGAATTCACTCTACATAATGCATTCCCTGTATATTTCCGAAGTTTTTACTAAAACTGCAGTAAAACAGACTGGGAAAGTTATCAGCTTTGTTAATTGTAAACTATTGGACTTTACTAGATGTATTTATTCAATGCAGTTTAGGTATATTCTGTTTTGGGGGGGGGCTTTCTTAGATAGGGTAAAAATAAAAATGTGTGAAATGTTTAAATATTGTTTAAATAGCAAATCACTTTTTTGTAAATAACTTGAAAAACAAAAAAAACAAAAAAAATTGAAAAACAAAATTCTAAGTGTTACGAATTTGAAGTTCTTCTCTGTCTGTTAGCAGAGCAGTATTTATTTCTTTGAACTTTGTGGCAACGCTGCTTTCGGGAGTGGAGATAGTCTGGGTAGCCATGAAGAGAGCTTGTCTCTTCTGTTCTTTTGATATGAAACCAAGTAACTGTAATTGTAAATAATTCTGTACTTTAAAGTTTGTGTTACAAAAATTACAGCAGTCTACTAATTTGATAGATATCTAGAAACAGGGTCCGTCGAGTTAAGGCCCGTCCACACAAGTACGCTCGAAACGTAGCTGACAAACGTGCTTTTACGTTACTAGCGTAAAAGCGTCCAAACGAGTACGCTTGCGAAGAGTGCGTTTACCCAATAGAATTATTTGGCGCAAAAATCACGCGAAAAAATCAAAGCGTCAACAGAGCTGTATCTTATTACTCGCTGTCTTCTGTAGGTTGCGGCAAGTTGTCGAATCAGATGATGTTTATAGCTCAAACGTACTATTAAGTGCAATTTAAGCAAGCAAAACCCGCAAAAAATGGCAAGAATGGGTCCGAAAGATTTTTTAGCAACCTGTTCAAAGAGTTTTTTTTTTTTTTTTTTTTACTGTCTTGTTGCGAAAAAGAATATCCGGAATATAACAATCCTACTATTAGCTCACACTCTCCCTATCTTGTTGAAATTTTCAGTACAAAATGCTTTTTATTCATCATCCAAAAAATCAAGTTCAACGTAGTGAAGTTTTGATGTAAATACAGCTTTTCATATAATTAAATTTTTAATTAAAAAATTCTGTTTGTATTTATTTATTTATTTATTTTTTGTATTTTTTAAATTTTTCTTGTGGAAGTAAGAATTGACTATTTTTTTTTGGGTATATTACTTGTTTTTGTAATGACTTCAGGATGAGTCGACCAGTTTGAAGGACTTGCAAGATCTAATTGTATGAACATTAGGATTTATAAATGGTTTGGAATACAGTATATATGGAGAAAGAAGTAAAGACTTCTTAATCTCTAAGATCACCACCCCTAATAAACCAACTTCATAGGTTGAATAACTCCCCCTCCCTTGGCCTTTTTCTTTCTTAATTTTATAATTTGAAACCAACAGTATAGTTAGAGAATTAAAAAAAGAAGCTTGAATAATAGATGATATTTAACAAAAAGATGAATATAGAGAATATGGAAAAAAGATTTTATTAAACTAAGGATTTCTATTTGCAGCATTAAACTAAATAAGAATAAATTAAATGAAAAGGAAAAAATAACAGAAAATAAGAAATAATGATTAAAATGAAATAAACACGTTCAAAATGAAAAACTAGGGAATTATAACCGTATAAGGGGTGAGGTTTCAAACTCACACCGTTCCATTTCTCACCACCACGCGCGCGCGATGACCACCTCTCTCTAGTGGGATAGCACTTGAGAAAAATATTGAATAAGTAAGTCGCTGCAAAGGAATTAATTAAACTTGAATAAATGATTGCTGTATGACCAAGTAGAACTTCCCAAAATTCGTAATTGCTTGATGATTGATCCTCCACGGCTTTATTTAGAATTGTTACATCTGAAGTTAGTTTTTTGTATGTTTATTGGAATATGGAGAATTTATACACATGCTAACAGATAAGCCAATATTTATAATAAGATAAAGGAGAATTTGTAAGGCAAACTTTGATTTCGTAGAAACTGAATTATTAGGTTCCTATTTAAGGGGTATAAATAGGTGAAGCATATGGATATACTGGGTCGATCATGGGTTTATAAATTACACAGTATTCCCTTAAGAGAAAAAATGAAACCAATATGTAACGTGGAAAATTGGAAATACGTGTTGAAGAAATGAACATGCGAATTATTTATGTTTGTATACAGTTATGATATTTCTAAGCAAAACTCATCTCTGTGTGGTTCTGACCGCCATAATTGAACGGGTAAGCAAGAAGGTTTTCTATATGACACGTGCTAAGAATCGGTCGGCGGCTATTGGCTAACGCGCGCGGGGGGCGGGCGAAAAGCTGAACAGGAGCGTACTCAGTTTTACGTCTTCTGCATCACGCGAATTTACGCCGGCGTCAAAAAAGTTACGTCAACTACGTTGGGAGCATCCTCGTGTGGACGGGCCTTTAGAGACAAACCACTTCAAAAAAGGGGGGAACATAACATTGTGCCTAAAAGGTAAGGGATAAAATTTAACTCAGTTTTACTTATTGTCTGAAGAATGTATCAAAACTCAGCTTAAGAACATCTCAGTTTCCAACACAAAATAGTTTTTCCAAGACGATTTGGAATTGTTGCTTCCTGAAGCTTTAGTACCTCTTTGTCATTCATTTTAAATTTAAATCATTAAATATAAGCCCAACCTAACTTTTCAGAGTTGCTTGCTGATTCTTTTACAGTCATGTAACTGGTTGAGGTTGTCTCCTTCTGGTGTATCACAAGAAAGCACTCATGTTAAAAGGATTACATAAAATGATTACAATTCATTTCTGCAATCTTTTCTTCGAAAGATGCAGAATAACCTGGTTCTCTGTCTATTAAACCCACAATATGGCTAAAGTTAAGAGACACAGCTCAGATTCCATTTACAATCAGTAGAGTAGATTGACTGCATGTAGTTGTACTTTTCCATTGAAATATTGCGAGTACAAGCCGGTTTCCCTTAAAAATGTCTTAAATGAAGGCATCTGAATTAGGCAATCATTATGTCTTTTGCCTTCAATAAATAATTAATAGCTGACTCATATTCATATTTTATATAGAGAAAATTATGAAAACTCCATGCAGCCACCCCAGCTGCTGTAAATTTAACCTGGGATCACTACCAGTGTTCAGAGGGCTGAACCACTCAACTGGTAGATCTGACTGGCTAAATAAATTAAAAATAGTAGGTAGTATATGAATTTCTTATCATTATCATACTTATATTTCTTTGAAATTCTTACGTGATGTGTCACGTTTTTCCTTCCCTTTGAAGTGTAATACTAGTTTTATTAAGTTTTGTTGTTGTTTTTGTTGTCTTTGTTCATAATTAAAGTTCAGTCTCTAAATCCCTAATTGTTCTGTAACTTACCTTTTCGAAATTCCCGTTTGTTCACAAATTACATTACAATATCATGTGCCATCATAAGTTATTCATGAGTATTTATTTTCAGAATTATTATTCATTACTATATATGATCCATGAGAATTTGAGTTCCTAAAGCATTTGCAAATTAATTGCCAAAGATATCATTTCACTTTGCACTACATACCAATTTTTGAAAACTGATATCCTCCTTTGTTGCTATTGTTATAGTTAGTAGAATAATATAACTAAGGGAATGCAGCTTCCCAAATTAAAAAGCCATCTTTTTTTTAATTAATAATTTTATCTGAAATTGCTGTTGAAAATTTTTTAAGTAAGATTCTTATTTTGCTTTTACAGGACTGTTTGCCAGTTCGTGACAAAGCTATTCACATCATTCATCATTCAAGTATCTTCTCAATACTCTTTGCTCTTGTTAAGCCATTGTTGAGCCAAAAAGTAAAAAATAGGGTACTGACCTTTTTTTATCCTGTTTGTAAAGTATTAATTTTATTCTAGGTTTGCATAACAATGAAGCTTAAAAATGATGGAAGGATGTTGCTGTCTCATAAAATGACATATTATAAAACATTCAAATAAAAATAAAATAGCTATGGCATATATTTACAGTAGCTATCTGAAATAATTTTACTGTTCTTTCTAACATACTTCAGAACAATTACTTACATAAAACAAGTAATGTTATTTGTTTAAGAATATTTCTAATTTATGTATTTTAAAATTTATGTTAATTTATGTTATTTATAATATGCCTAATGGATGATAGTGATAGACATTTAAATCATTTAACTGGAAAAGAAATAAGCCAATCTAAAATTTAAAATTAAGCAAAAAACCAAGCTTAGATTGGCATTGGTTTTGAATAAAATTCTGTTAATTTTAGAAGCAATATGACATAGGTCTCAGATGAGTTTTTTTGTTCCTGAAAAAGAGGGACATGAATCAGATATTTCTTGAAATCGATAGTTTTAATCAAAACTAATTCTAATCTAAGACTGTTTTTTTAATTTTAAATTAAAATCATTATAATATCTAATAAAATATATTTTAATGCCATATATTATATACTTGTTAAAAATAGCTGATTATAAAGAATCTCACAGAACTTTTTTAATAATTTTATTTGCATATTAAATTCAAGCACTTTGTAGTTGTGTTTTAAACCTCATTCTGTAAAATTTTAAATTTTCAGAAAACAAAAGTACTAAAACATCATTTACAAACACAAGTTTTTTAGGTTTAATGCATTTTGTAAAAAAAAATTCCTTTATATTTAAAATCATTGAAGTATAAATTAATATATATAATATGAAAAACTAGTGATTAAGTGTTGTGTAGTCATGCTGTTGTATAAAACCTACAGTTCAATTTTCAGGCAATATTGACACTGATTAAGCTGAATTTTGACTTAAATTCTATATCGCCAGGGCTGATCCTAGACAGGGGCAAGATGGTGCATAGCATGTGGGTGGCAAAATGATTATCAAACATATATTTCTGTAAAAAAGGGTGGCCAGTTTTAATTTGCATGTGGGTGGCCAATGTTCTAGGATCAGTACTGCCTATTGCCTTATTCCCTTTTACATTTTATAGCTCAGATAGTGTAGTAATAATTCATGTTTCATGATCTGAATTTAGAAATTCCAAAAAATATCTTTCTAAAAAAAACTTTGCATTAAACCCACCAGATAATTTAAACAGAATTTTGAATTAGGATATATTGTGAAATAGTGTCCAACAGTAAGTTCATAATCCTGAACAGTTCAAATATAAGTTCATAATCCTTTGTCCAACAGTAAGTTCATATCCTGAACTCATTGTTGAGCAATGTATCCTGAACTATGGAACAAATAATCTCAAAAATTAATTTCCCACTAAAATATATGAGAGTTAATAAGCTGAAATCACTTCTGTGGGGGGAGTACAATATTTGTCAATGATATGTCATTCAAGAAAGTAACTTTCTCAAAAAACTTTGCATCATATCAGATAAATTAAATGGGTTTTTTTAATTAGGATACATTGTAAGCATAAACTTTTTTATAATAAACATTATTTTGTTTAATTATGTAAAAACATTTTTTTTAATTTGCAGATTTATTTTCATGGTGATCTGAATAGTTTACACCAGCACCTTCCTCCTGAAATTTTACCTGAAAGTCTGGGTGGAAAGCTGAGTGATTTGCCTAATGAAGATTTTTACAAATCCTTAATAAATAGTGAAGAAACATTTGTTATTAGGCAAAATTATGGTTATATGAAAGGTTCAAGTACCTAAATACTAATTTTATTTTCTTCTTCTGTGATTTTAGCATCTTTTCTGTGATATATATATATATATATAACGTAACTTTTGTAGACTATGTAGTAAATTAAAATGTTCACTAATTTGTACATATATCATTATTGTTACAAGCAAAAGTGATTGATATAATTAAATTTTGACATCATGTATTTCTTAAAATTTAACTCGCCTGTCTTTTAAATCATGTCCAGTCATTTAAATCCAACTGGTGACAAATTATCATCCATCACATTTTTTTTTATAAGCCATTATATAGACATTAGATTTTTTGAATCAGAAAACATGAAAAATAAACTGATAATCCTCACTGGGATTCAAACCATGAATCTTCTAGTTGTAACTCGATGTGCTAAACACTATTTGAGCTTGCATGAAGGGATGTAATTAGTTCTTACATTCTCCTTAAAGGACAATTGGGAAGGGACACAAAATAGTCAGTTGAATCCAACTGATAACAAATTATCATAGATTCAAACCATTCGCTGGAATTCAAACTATAAACCTTCCAATTGTTAACTCGATGTGCTAACCACTAAGGACATTAAAGCATGCCTGAGGGAATATGTTATTTCCTTACAATATGCTATTGAAGTTAAAGTAGCATCTCGCTGTGGGTTTAAATTCGCTGTGGGTTAATTTAAAATTAGCTCAGATTTTCATTATTTAAGTTTAAATATTTCTTCCAGTATATTAGCTGCAGTATACTTTCCAAAAATAAAAATTAAAAGCCAGATTTTGCAAACAGTTTGTTTTTTGGTGTGTCAGCAAGTAATGTAATCAAATACATTTGTTTTGTTTTCCTGCTTAAAATAAGCTTTGTTAAACTGTTTGGTGCACTGATCTTGTACTTGATTTGTTAAGAGTCATTGAGACAACAATGAATCACAAGGTTGATTCTCATTGATTTAATAGCTGTAAAATTGCTTTCCTATCCATAAGCACATATTAATAAATTCTGCATGTTGTAACACTATAATCAGGACTTCATTTCAAAAATAAAAAAAAAGTAGCTAAGAGCATTGATTTTAAAAATTGTAAAATGATATATTAGAAACCCAAAAATTTTCAAATAATAAATCAGTAAGGAAATCTGAGGTTAAGTTATTTCAATATGGAGAAATGCACAAGAGCTATCTGCCTAATGGCCCTCTTAATGAGAGAAACTGTGTTCACGTTACACATGGAGAAAATCAACTATGCAGCCAGTCCATTTTCCAGGTATTGAACCCTAGTCAAACTCCCAGCATTTAGTAATCTGAATAAAGCAATATTAAACTTGGATAAATATAATATTTCTGCAAATATTTTTCTTATCCAGTATCCAAACATTTTTATACTAAACATTCTCAAGGAATGTCCAAACTAACTTGTCATTTAGCCACCTCTTCACTGAGATTGTTTGTACCAGGTGCACCATAGATGCCACCAATATTACACATGCAAAAACAAAGATGCACAACTCATCCATGTCTTAGAGATTCAAACCTGGGTTCTAACAATATGGCTGATGGCTCCATTAACCATCATGTTAAACAGGCAGCATTTATTTTAAACTATTATATAAATTCCTTGTATGAAAATTACTAGGATTTTTTTTTTTTTTAAACATATGTAAAGAAGTGAATCTAGGATGAGTTTTCAGAATAACACTGCTAAACATAATACATGAATGTTGGTTAGCTATTACACATTCTTTAAGTTATGTCTTGAGTACTATGTAGCAGGGAGGAAGATGTAACTGCAAAAAAGTTGATTCTTTAATATTCTAGACAGACTTCCGATTACTGAACACTGGTAGTTCGGTCAGAGGTTCGAATCCCGCGAATGGGCTGGCTGCATGGGTGTTTTCGTGGTTTTCCCCATGTGTAACGTGTATACGAGCCAGTTTCCCTTAGAAAGTTCTCCACGAAGGCATCCCTCCCCTTAGGCAGATAGCCCTAGTGTGCTTTGCCATAATTAAATACACCAGACTTCCGATTATGTCTTGAACACTTAAGTTGGAAATTTTTTTAGTGTTTTACCAATTTATTTATAAAAAAAACCACACATTTCAACAAATATTAAATGTAAAGCATACACTTTCTATTCATATTAAAATATTTCAAATATAAAATAAATCTATATCAGATTTCATGTAAATGATGGCTTCAGTTGACAGAGAAATACAGGAATATCAAAGCCAAGTTTCATTGTACTTCACCTGAAATTTAAACACTGACTGTAAGTTAGGTTTGCTCATTAAAATTGAAAAATTAAGCTCTGTGTTTAGAATTATTATATAAATCAAGATGCAAATATATTAAGGAAGGAGTATGATATACTGTGAATTTTTATTCCTTTTCAATTGAATGTGAAAAGAAAATTTATACCAAGATTTCTGTCTAGTTATGATTTTGACAGATTACTAAAATATTGATTCTAGTTTTTCTTAACCAAAATTAATCATTTTATATTTTCTGTGTTATTCCCATACCCAGGGCCAAGCAGAATTTAGGATGGTAAAATGCCTAGTGCTGGCCTTGCCCCTACACTCCTGAAACAAAGCAAGGTAGAAAACCACCATAAAACATTGTATAATTGAAAATTCATTGCAGTTGAGATAAACCTTCTTTTTCCTTCTGCTCCTTAATAGTTCCTTAAATTTTGAAGTACTATTAATAAAACTTCATTAAATTTTGTATTTCTTATCTGTATATGTGTGTGTGTTTATTGTTAATATATAGAAACGGCAGTATACAATTTATTACATATTTTCTTTAATGAAAGCTTCTTTTATAAGTATCTTCTGTTTCCTACTGAGACTTTCTGGAAAAGTTATATTGAATTCAATCACTAAATCTCCTCTAGCAGCCAAGCCTATGATTGGCATTCCCTCTCCTTTCAACAATAGTCTAAATTTAGGAGAAAAAAATTGAATATAATTATCAAAGAATGGAACAATTTTAATCTTAGAAATTAAAGTATTGAACTTGCAAGTTTCCTTTCTCTGCACATTCTTTTCTCTACACATTTTTTTTTTTTTTTTTTTTTTTTTTTTTATGTTAGATACCTTTCTAATTTGCAGAATACAAATTTTAAATAAGGCTTTTTTTATTATTAGATGAATGTGATTATCAAATATATTTGAAATGCGTGGTAGTATAAAAACAAATAAGTTTTTTAAATAAATTTCATTTTATTAAAAAATTGATTTGGAAAATTAATGCTAAGAAAATCTTATAAGACCATTAGTTTTTCAAAATAAAAATACAGTGCTGTACTAGTTAATATATTTTTAACTCAGCAAGAATTACTTTTGGCATTGAAAGTATTAACACTTTTTTCGTGCAATTTTATATCAAAATTTAAAATATATAACACTAACTACAGCTCCCGACTCAATCGATTGCTCTCGAAGCTCAACACACTCAAGATACCTTTTCAGCCAGTGGCTTCTGTTTAGCTCTTGGCTATTTATCCTGTTCATAAAAAACCTAAAACTGACAGTGAACATTTTGGCCTGAAATAAGACTATTGGCTATTTAAAAAATATTGAATTATTAGTCTATTATAGTATTAATTATTTGGTGCCTTGTCATACGACAATTAACTGGAATTAGATGTCTGCCATATGGGGATGGAAGCCTATACTAGAAATTTGGATTGAGAACTTCATAACTCTTTTCGCGTGTACATTTGTGATTGTTTCATTTTTAAATAAAAGTTACTCTATGACAAAATACTTTCTTCTACTCGTTCGGAAGAAAAAAAGTGGAATTCCCCCCTCCCTCCTTTTTTTTTGGGGGGGGGGAGACTTTTTTTCTAATTTCATAGATGGTACTGGACCTACTAGTAAGTATACTGTATTACATATTGAATGTCGTTGATAATATCGAAAGACAATATCGAAGCTCAAGCCTTGATAGTGAAGCTTTGAGGTAATGTTCAATCTTCAATATAGTCTTCGAAGTTAGAGGATATGATATTTTTAAGACTAATGATCAAAAAGTATGTAAAAGACAAAAAGTGCAATACTTATTCAGCAAAGATAGTATTCAACACACTCCTGATTACTCAGTATGCTTTTGTTAGCGCGTGCGTAGTCGAAGAACACACTACAAAATAAACTTAGTATTAACATATCCGGTGCTGGATTCTTCCTCGTCGTCGTTAATGAGAAATAAACTCATTTCACATCTGAATATGCATAAATCCTCATTCATTCTCAAGGATCGGAACACCTAGAATCAAAGCAATCGACACTGGTCGTTTTTCTGTGACGTGTGGAAGTTCTACCCATTTCGAAAATGGAAATTGTGATCTAATGACTTATGACACTAAATGACAGGGATCTTTTACAAAAAAAAAAATTAGTAAAGGGCAACGGATCATAGGTACTGAGTTCCTGAGAGTAAATAATGTGTTTAACAATTTAAAATGGAAAGCCGCAAGAAACAAGCCATACATTGTTTATTTTATTAGTTTGATGAAGACAATACTGCAAACAGAGCTTTCCATTTATCAGATATAGAGAGAGGATAATAATGTATGTGACCGACAGTTTCAGAAATTGCGACATAGAGAGAGATGAGTTCCGTGGATGTTCATCAGTGGTTTCTGATAAGTTTTGGATCAAGTGTAGAACTTCAGCCGCACTCCAACCGTCCACATAATGCAGGAAACGTTTTTGAATGCACATATTAACAAGCGAGAGATGGATGCAAGTAGAATGCATCACGATGTTCCACGAGAGAGCTTCATACTAGCTTTATGCAAAACAGCCTGAGAAGAGAGTCGTTACATATGCTTCTTTGCTTTCTCGGTCCAGAAATAACCTTTTTGAAACGAATCGTAATGAAAGATGAGAAACTGGTATTCTACCGCAGTGTTAAGCATTGAAAGAATTGCAGAATTATGTTTTCAACCTCAAAAGGATAATGGCATCCCGAAAAGCATATGATGAAACTTGAAATAAAATCTAAAGAGATGTAGTTAACGATAAATACTAATTTCTGGTACTAACAATCGGACAGATTAAGAGAACTGGTATCTAAGCGCCCAACGTCAATTGCAAATGCTGTAATATTTCGTCATGATTCTAATTTCTTCATTTATCACTCAGTGAAATTTTAATGCACTTGGTTTTGAAATGTTACCTTCTTTAGACCATCAGACTACAATCTCATTCGATCATCAAATAATATCGATTTCTCTACATCTTCGGTAATGAAAATGATGTGAAAGCCACATTACAAGGCTTATTTTATTCAAAAATAGTCTAGTTTATGGATGTGGACAAACCTGTAACCAGATGTATGGCAAGAGATCATACAAATTGATAGTACTGGTAAGAAATCATAACAACTTTAAATCAAACTACGCCTTTCTTTTTCGATTGAAAAAACGGGTAGAACTTTTGCTCATGCCCCCTAAGATTTTGTCCTTTATAGTTTAATTTTCATTTTGAAAAGAGCAAGAATTAGAATTGAAGGATTAGATTTACCGATTGAGGAGATTGAGAAATAGCTGCCTTGTTATGTAAAAATATTACATCGTCAGTCAATGTAAATGAAAGCATTTGGTTGATAACTCCGTTTTTTGAGTGCCACACTTAAGACGTTTCTTTTTCGTGTCTTTTCTCAGCTTGCTCAGATTATCACTGTATAAAGCTGGCTTTTATAATCCCACTGGTAGAAAAAAGATTCTTATATCCACTCGCCTCCCCCCCCCTCCAGTGTAGAAGAAAAAAAGAACTACCCACATGCTGTTCTTTCGCATTAGAGAATACTTTTCATTTCTAATTCCAAACCATCACCAATAGCGATTCTAGAATGAAATTAAGGATCTCTGATTTCTTGAAGCTGCCTAAGGAATCTTGCGCAATGTTACTGACAGTGATTTTCCTCCCATTAATTTTGACTAATAAAACGTAAAATAAGAAAATCCAGCAATCTTACAGGCATCAAGGATCATCCACGTAAGATGTTCAATAATTTCACGCATTTTTTTCAATAATTTGTAGTGTTGTGTTGAGTTAGCAGGAGTCCACAAGGGTACGACATAACTTTAACTGACATATGACAATCAATGAAGTTATACTGTATATCTTTTGCCCTAAAGCATTTTCTAAATTACTGCTGAACATTTAATTTGTAACAATGTTTATTACACATACGCTGCGATTTTATATCATCCATTTCTAAATACCGAAAAAATCGCATAGTTGGTAGAAGTGTTATGAATTAACCAAGGAATGCAGGCAGAGACCAAATTTAAATGATTAGATGTAATTTACACTACTGTATGTAAAAGTTCCTTTTCCCCGTCCTATTCTTAATCGCCGATTATCTAATAAGATATATGCACCAGAAAGTAGCTATTGAAAAATAAATATATGCTATTAAAAATATTATTAGGAATTTTTCTTATCTGAATTCATGTTAATCATCATTTTAAAAATATATTTTAACAGAATTTCAGACATAACTCGTATCGTTTGCTGGCAAAATAGTATATCGAAAAGCTATACCTAGAATCAGGTTTGATAACGTCAAAGATGGGAACATGCATCATTTTGCCGTCAAAAGTGGTAACGTCGATTGTGAATCCAGTGAGAGCATGCGCAAGATGAATGGTCTTCGTTATTACGAAGTTATGCCCTTCCAATTTAAATTCAGAATGCGGCTGCATCTCAGCTCTGAAGGTAACGTTGCCTGGTAACATGTTAGGTCCCGAAGTCCCGGCACCGTTGAAGTGAAAGCAGTTGCCATTTGTAGTGCCTGATGGAAGTACGTAGGCAAAAATCAGTCTGTTAAGAAAATTATGTAAAAATTTCCAACGAAATTAAATATGCCTTCCTGGATACAATAATAAAGCTTTGAATTAAAAACTTTGTAAAAAGCATATTACTTCTTTGTAATATGCTTTTCACAAAATAGAAAATAACGTTAGGGGAGGTTGTTTTTCGATTTATTTTAAGCATGTTTACGTAAGAATTTACTGGGAAGCACAACAAACACGCCACGGAACTTTTTCCGAAAATTTCGTTTACAATTTTGAAAAATCTTCGAAAAATATTTTGCATTCATATTTAATATTTTATTTCTCCATAGCTTTGGCAGATCGTACGCAAGTGGAAGTCTTTTTTTTTTTTTTTTTTTTTTTTTTTACATGAGTGTGTAAGGGTGTTTTTTTTTTTAATTATTATACTATTTTGCCTGGAGAATCTCTGAAATGTTTCAAAACTACAATATTATTAATAAATTTACTAAATGTACTACACTTATACCGTAGCATAATAAAGAAAACCTGTAAATATTAATTTGAATGGCCATCTGCCTTTAGTAAATATTAAACTTTATATTCAAAGCAATACTTGGATTATATATTTTTGGTGGATGGAGATGAAACACCAATCCTTCAACCTTTAGCTATAGCTTTTATCGAATTTCTTCTCGCAGCAAAAATTCTTTTCGGCTAATCGAAGAAATGCTTAGACTTGGAACCACTCAAGATAGTCAAAAATAAAAATGACCCCGGGTCTAAACCATATTTCCTTCTTATCTTAATTTCACAAAATTCGCGGTTTTTGAAGGGAAGAGAAATGATACGATAAATGGATAAAAACTTTAATTTTTAGTACGATTTATATACTTATTCATATGATTACAATAATATAAACACATTCTTTTTCCGATCAAAAATACATGTAACTTTACCATTCGATTTTATGTTATTCGTCACTGCATTAATTATTAAAATTTTAACATAACTTTATAACTGTGCTTTCTCCTCCCTTCCCAGGAAATGCATAGATATTTCAGATACGGTTTTCTATTTTTTTAATGAACTGTTTTGTTATGTGATTTATCTGTAAGAACTCTGTTTAGAAAATCGATTGAATATACCCTATACATTTTAGTGCTGTTAAGTTAGGATTGTGTATCCATACATCGCCAATAGATGGCGGTAGTGTTTGTAAAAAGAAACTGTGATGTCAATTATGTATATGTATCAGTTCGTCTTTGGTGTTCTTGAATAAATGTTGTGTGGAAGAACGCTCCTCTGTTTTTTAACTGAATCGTATCTGATTTATTAGAGATTTACACATATTTTGTTTAAGTGCGAACTGAGAAATAATTTTATAATGGAGCTGATACAAGATTTTAATTGCTTTATTTTATAACCCTTTGTTGTTTTCAAAATAAAATCTGATCTTTCAATCATTCATCTGTATAATCATCCTTTGAATTAATTTCAAAGGATGCAAATTTCATTTCCTTCAATGCCAAAGTGTTTCATTCATGCGAGATTTTCTCAACTCTCGATTTCCTTTTACAGCACCAATGCTTTGCCGGAATTTAATGAATCCATCTTAGAGCGATGCTGCGAAATGAGGTTAAAAATGTATAATCTAATTTGTTATATTTTTTTGCTGATTTTGAAATTTAAAAAACATTTTAATCAGTTTTAGTTTGAGCTGGGAACTGTTTGCATTTCTTAGACGAGTGTAGATAATTAATATAAATTAGTACGCGCATAGTTTCTTTATATATTTGCAAAGTATACTCTCAATTTATCTCAATTCTATTATTGCTTACATGACAGAATTTCATACATCTAACGAGCAATTTATGTACGGTTCCCCTGTATCAGAAGTGGATTTTTTGAAATGCGTGTCGTCATCTGCTCTAAGTTCAAGTTACATACAATACGGAAAAGAAGGACAGATGGAAAGATAATGGTAGAACTGTAGTCTCAACTGCTTATCATATATTCTGTGAGGCATTTCCCATTAACATGCAGTAATGTGATACACGTTGTAACTCTGCCACACATAAAAAAAATAATAAATAAATAAAAAGAACCTTATCTTTATTTGAAACCTTGCTGAAAAATATAGCTTTTCTTAGGATTTCATCATAATCATATTTATAATTATATTATTCGGTTAAAAAAAATATAGCATAGCTATTTTTAACGGTATTCAGAAAATCAAAGTCTGTTCAACAGCTTAAAAATAAGTAATATTTTCAGTAATTTAAAAGTATCTTCAACACATATTCACTATCTAGGAGCTCTTTGCAAGAAATTCTGGAACTCTTTAATCTGAATTTACAGAATGAAAAGAAAATTCATATATTCCTTTAAACAGATAACTATGCGTACTAAGTAGTTTTAATAACCAATTTTTGATTATTTTTTATTTATTACTACTTAAGTTTTTATGACTGGCTATAATGATTACCTTACGTTTTCTCATATTAGAAATTTTACAAAATCCGGATGTTTACATGAGTTAATTTATCATCGCCATCTGATATTCATGAAATAGTACCCATAGAAATATAGGTGCTATTTTGTGAAATTCAGATCACTTCAAATATATGATTCAGGGAAGGGGGAAAAAGGGAGGCAATATTTCTATTACTTTTAAAGCAAAATACAGGTAGACAATTACTTAAGGAAAGTATAAAGGAATTCTGTGCGACTTAATGGGCATTCATTTTATCCAAGGCTTGTTTCATTTTTGTATTTACGTGATGAACAGATATAACCTTGATGGAATGCAACCTGGAATGTAATACTTTGGCTTCTAGCTTGATACCTAAAAGGTGTCATAAACTGGTTTCCTTATAGGGTTAAACAGTCAAGTCCATCAAAAAATCCAAAGCAATTTCATTTTTCCATAATGAAAAATACATTGTAACTTCAATCATTCATACCTGCAATGATCATTTTCCCACATGCATCGACTATTTTTCCCTATAAAGGCCTGTAAAAATAGCGTTATTTATTTTTGTTTGCATCATGCCGCGAACTAGGGATTTCACTTATAAAACGCGTTCTGGCTACATCATTTTCCATTTGGATTATTTGGATAAAAGAAATCGAAGCGAAATACGTATTTATTATTTACGTCACTTTTTCTTGAGATTACGAATTTAATAACACATAGTAATGCAGGAATGCACTGCACATAGCTGGCAGGAATGCATTGCACATAGCTGGCAGCTGTGCGTCCGCGTAAAAGGCATTTCAGAATGTTACTTTCAGAATGAATAAAAATAAACTTGCTGCACGCTGCAGCAAGTTTATTTAAGGCAGTGTTCATTCACTTATTTCAGCTAGAATTCAAGAGAGTTTCATGCTGAAAGTAACGCTGAAAGTAAGAGCTGTTTATGAATATTATGTTACTTATTCACAACTAGCGGAAATACCTGATGCCAGTCAAGTTAGATTGAGAGTAATGCATCTAACAACAGAGAGAACGATACAGCTGTAATTTTTACTTTTATCATTTATTCTAGATTAAAATTGTATTTAACCGTAATACTAATTTGCTTTATTTTACGTGATATTTTTTAAAATTATTTTTAGTTCTGCGTAAGATTTGGATTTACGGTTAATTTTAAATTAGCTCGAAGCGCATTTGCGCTGTTTCACTATAAGGTCCGTGTCTCCTTGAAATTGTTGTACCAATATTATCGCCTGTATTATATTAGAAATGAAAATAATGAAGAAATCTGCCTGACTACATGTATGTTTCCGCATGTGACCAAAAAGACGGATTAGAGCCATCAATTTTGAAAAAGGTACTCTGCACCCGAACATGGGCATCTGGACGGCCGAAATTTGTTTGTTTATACCTATTCAATTTGTAAACTTTAAGGATTTTTTAACCAATTCAACGATTTAAGCGAGCAATGGCAACACTGCACGGAAAATAAATTTTATCTCCAGTGTGGAAATTCGAAAGATATGCGTTTTCAATGTTATGTTTCAAATGTGTTTTACGGCGAAGAACATGATTTCAATAAATATAGGTAACACAAAAGGTTTTTGAGCTTAATAAAGTCTGTTGTTTAGATTTTATTTTTTTTTTTTTTTTTTTTTTTTCATTACATCAGAAAAATTTTAGGCTTCAAATTTATAATTTACTAAATAATTAATCCACTTTAATGTAATAATTTAATGATGATATAATCAAATAAATAATCGTTTTAATGTTACTATAGTTTTGAAAACTACTGCTGAAAATGTTCATAATTTTTTTTAAAAAAATTATCAGACTTGTTGAACTTACCTTATTTCTTCAATAATCACGTGCTCTCAATCTTATTAATTTTACTTATTTTTACGCAAAATTAAGTTCATAAATTTTGTGCTTAGACTTTTTACCTTTTTATCAATGTAAAGATGTTTGTACAAGAATTACGCGTGAAAACAATGCGCGAAATGCAGTAAAAAGTGCTTTAATAAGATGTATTAAATCCTATTTGAAAAAAACTGTGACTTTCATAATCTCATTACTATACAAAGTATCACATTTAATAATTATAAACAGTTAGAACTTAGCTATGTGAAACAAACGCTTTAGGTTTCAGTTTTAAAGTAAACCAGATCGTCCCTACTCTTTCTTGCGCACATGTCGGTGACGCGCGCCTCGCCCTTCTCACATGTCTAAACTAATCAGAACGAGCCTAAAATTTTATCGTGACGAGGAGCAGAAGACAGCGTCTGTTTTTGGCAAGAGCCTTGGATACCATATAGGTGACAGTACTATTTTGCCAAGTTCCACCCATGGACCTTATAAGAAATAGACTAACCCAAATGGGTTTTCTCACTCGTCTGAAGCGTTCCCGGCTGTCACCTTGATCACATTCCGGGGATAGGCGATTTGCGAATTTGGCAGTGTACCTATTGCAGCGGCGTATAATTGTCAAGAAAAAGCTGCCTGTACGCTCATTTCACAAATTAGATTTTACATTTTATTTTTGAAATTGAGATTGATTTTAAAATTTAGCATATATCAAGCATAATTAACGTTCCAAAAATTATAAAGCTGCATGCTTTCAGGCCCGGATATTTTTTAGCTTTTCTATGTGTAAAGAAATTTGTAACTACTTTTTTAGAGAATATATTTTAAATCTGACTAAAGAAAATTTCAAAACAAGCAATTTCTCTGCATTTTTATGCTTTTTATTGGTGTAAATAAGTAAAAAATATTAAATATTTAAAAACGAATTTTTGAAGTTTTGTTTAAAATTCTAAATTGTGCTGCTTTTTTAAAATTATAGATGTAGATAGCACAATTTCTATAAAGGAATTTTATTTCAATTATTTCATAATACATATAGTGATAAACCTTTTGATCCTTAAAAATTTTTACATTTAATTCTAATATTAAAATTGTATTTAACTGTAATAATAATTTTGATTGTATTTTATAGTGATTATTTTTTCAATTTTTTTGTTGGAGAAGATTTTTATTTACTGTTAATTAATTATAGCCCCAAAGGAGGTAGCTAGAAGGCTGTTAGTTTCAAGCGGGCATTTTGCGCTGTTTTACTATAAATGTTAGGTCTCCTTGCAAATTGTTTTACCAAATATTATGGCCCTGTCTTATAATTAAAGAAATAAATAATGAAGTATGTGCATACATGTATACTGTATGCTGAATCATTAGTTTCTCGCACTGTGACAAAAACGACAGTATCTAGAGCCATCAAATTTGGAATAATGGAGCCTCCACGAAACATGGGCATCTGGACGGCCAATTTCGAATTTGTTTTAATCTATTTCTATTTCTAAAAACTTTAACGGATTTTTGATTAACAAACTCAACGAGTCAGCGAGCACTGTACGGAAAATAACAGTTTATTCCAGTGCGAAAATTCTAAAGTTTCAAATGTATGTGGTTTACGGGCGACGAACATGATATTCAATAATATAGGTAACACACAAACGTTTAAAAAAAGGTTCCTTTGGGCGTAATATAAAAATCTTAGTGCTTCCATTTTATTTACTTTTTTTTTCCTTTACATCAGCAAATTTTATGCTCCGAATTTTATAAATTACTAAAATAAATATTCCACTTTAATGTTAATAAGTTAATGATGATTGTTTTGTAATGTTGACTCCATCTTACTTCCTACCTCCATGGCAAAAAAGACACTATACATTTGCAGGATCCATGCCTTCTTCGCGATTCGAGCCCTAGCCTTTCCGTATGGTAGTCAAAGTCACTAACCACTATCCCGCTGGGCGGCACATAAAAGTAAAGTTCATTCAGGTATGCTTGTTTTTATAAAAAAATCAAAGTCAAAATTTCAATTTTTATGCTTAGAGTTTAATGAGTATTGTACTTACTTCCTCAATAAAATGTAATTTTAGTCATAAAAAAAGACTGTTTTGAAATGGAAGTATCACTCACCCGAAACGTGTTCTTAACATACATATTTTGGTTGGTTTTGACCAGCAGCTAAAAAATTTTATGTTTGTTTTTATAATCATAAGAATTAGAATTTTAATTTTTATGTTTAAAGTTTAAAGCGTATGGTTATTATTTCCTCAATAAAGTTTATCTTATTATTCATTAAATAAAAAAAGACTTTTAAAATGAAAATATCACTGACCCTAAACGCGTTTTTAATATACACATTTTAGTTGATTTTGACCCGCAGATAAAAAAGGTTGCCGATGTCTTTATAAGGTATTTCTCCCGCCTTCTTAACGAGCCTCGTGGTGTAGCGGTCTGCACGCTCAGCGCGTAATCGAGAGGTCCGTGGTTCGATTCCCGGCGTAGGCGTTGCTAATTTTTCATGACTCCTGCTTCCAAAAAATACTTAATGTCTCTACTAGAGTGGCGCCCGAACTAAAAGAGTGTTGGATTCTCCTCACCCAGGATGTGGCGATTGGGTCCCCTAAAAACCCCAGTCGTTCTTTAAAAAGGGGAGTATATAAGGTATTTCTCCCGCCTTCTTAACGAGCCTTCGTGGTGCACGCTCTGCGCGTAATTGAGAGGTCCGCGGTTCGATTCCCGGCGAAGGCGTTGCTAATTTTTCATGACTCTTGCTTCCAAAAAATATCTAATGTCTCTACAGTCTTACTTAACTTTATGACCTCTTGCAGGATGCAATTTTAATATTTGACAGCCAAAAGAACAAATTTATGTTGCTTTCATATCTATTTAGTACGGATAATATCTTGAGATGATCACTTCCCATATACGACCATCTCTAAAAAGTGATCAGTAATTTTAAGAACATTAATTAAACATTGGTATAACTAATCGTAATATTGTTCTCTAAGAAGATTGCTCTCTAACACGTCAGAGACCATGAGATATATTCATTCTGAATTGCCAAAAACACCTTAATTTCGGTATCAAACTAACAAAATTTCAAGAACAACAGAAATTAAAAAGTATAATTTTAACAGAAAAACTACTATTTTTTAATGGAAAATGTTTTTTTCATACAATCCTAAAATATAAATTTGACTCTTATTTATATTCTCTGCGTAACTTAACCTTACACGCTCGTTTGTGATGAAACTTAGAATACCAAAACATTTTAAATAATTCGTAAAATAAAACACTTAATAATTTGTACATTCCTGAACTCTTCATATTTTTTTTTTTTTTTTTCCCTATCTGCAATAATGTGATAAACTGGCTACAACAGTTCCAATCGCTAATAAAATAGTATGATTTCATGAACATTTACGACTTGGTCTTTTATCATCCAATAACCGTTAAATCATTGATATTCTATGTTAAGACGCGCATGGCACTGAAAAAAGTAAGCCAGGGAGTTAAAAAGAATGCTTCAAATGAATAAAAACTGTTATCAGTAGTAAAACAATTCATTACGATCAAGATGCTTCATAAAATATCGGTATGTTTACGCTGGAAAGGCAAATTGCAAATTCTCGATGACTTTTGATCCTGGAACTTCTTGATCTTGGATGACGGGAATAATTTTTGTATACGTTTCTAAATTCTGTAATTAAAATTTATTTAGTCGTAATCTAAATCAGTTAAAAATTAAGTTGTAATTTAAAAATAATCGATTGTTTCTTCAAGTCAAATGCTTAAAAAATGTGTAAACCAAAGTGAAAGCAAATGAGCAAATTTTATTGATGAATCGTGATGCTAAATTATACCAATTAAATTTTAAAGGTTTGTTGTTATATACTTTATACATAGCCTTTTGCGAAATTTAGAGATAAAATAAATCATTTCCTGATATTTTTAAAAATGATTCCTTAATATTCATAGTGTTGTTTGTTGGTAATCCAGCTTTAAGAAACCAAGTCTTTTAACATACTCCAAGAGTGTAAGCTAGGATAAATCCATTATGCAAATCTATAATCCCCATTACCGATATATACGTCTACTCTGAGACAACCACATTTTCAGACCAAAGTTGTCTGGAAACATGAGTGGCAGTCTTAGGACTCAATAGATAAAAGAAAATCACCCCTCTTTTTTGTGCTTTCGTCTTCGTAAACGTCATAATTATCTGAGCTACAGTTATCTGTTTAAACAGAATATTTTTACATGATTCTACGTAGCATTTATTTATATTTAATAATAAAAAGCTGACATCTGAATAATATTTTTAACATGATGAAATTTCACTTTCCTTAATAAATTTATTTTAACATAATTTTTTTATTTTAACTTTTTAAAAATGGATCAAACAATCAAAATCAAACTTTATCTAGAAATCAACTAAGCTATTAATTAAATTCATCATGTTTTTTTTGTTGTTGTTGTTGTTGTTGTTGTTGTTGTTTTGTTTTTTTAAAGGATTATATTATCTGACGCTACTATATATATGTAGTATAGTGGGTTTATACACACTAACAGTCCATTTTTCTCAAATTTATAACAAATTTCTTTCATTTCTTGGCTCTACTGTAGAATTGGGTGCCCCTTCGATTAGCGACAATTTTTTTGTAAAATTCTGGCGATGAAATCTCATTTCTGGTTACCATGATAGTTTAACTTTGCTTTAACCTCCTGATTTTTTTTAAATAAAAATAGATTGATGTGTACATGGTCAAATTTAAAGCAGTGCGAAATGCCTAGTTTGTGCAATTCTGGGATGTTTTTTTAAGTGAAAACAGATCGATGTGTACATAGACACAGAGTTTATGCAATTCTTTGACTTCTTATTTTGGTTTTGTGTAGGGGCCATCTTGAAATTGTGTCTGCCTGGCGCCGCTCTTGGCGTCAAAAAAAAAAAAAAATCGCCAAAAAACAAGGGGCACCCGATTGTAAACTTTTACCCATTTCTTACAAATTTAACGACTTAGTGATATTCGCGTACTAAATTCGTTACTGTATAACACTTCATTTAAGAAATATAGTACGTAAGTTCCAAAAACATTGAAATAGGAATTAATAATATTTTTGCAAAAATGTACGTATTAATACTTACTTATATAACCAGTTCAAATTTTCATAAACGCACTTTTTGCACTGGTGCAGATAAGGCACAATTAAAAAACAGCATTTGCATACAATACTTTATGAAGAATTATATTCTTAAGATTTCAAATTTCGTTTTAAAAGGATGATCCAGGAAATTTTTATACATAAAAAATCAAATACTTGAATAATTTTGTTGCTTTTCATATAATTCTTTCCTAACAACTATGATTTGAGAGATTTCATAGCTAAATTAAGTATGATATTATTAGCAAGTTCTGGGTAATCCTTCAGAAAGGAAAGCCATTCATCTGATTTCATTACTTTAACGGCGTTGTCAAGGATTAACTGAATAGAAGCTTCTTTAAGAGCTTCATCTTCATGCAGGTTTGCAACGGTTAAAACTCCTAATGCCATGTCAGTCGTCAAATTAGAACATAAAAATTTTGAGCATATCCTTTTCAGTTTTGGGACTGCATATTTATCAGCAGCCACAAAGAGGGCCAAACATGTTTGAGATGTCAACTCGCTGGTTTCGTCAGTATAGAGGTAACGCAGCAACAACGAAATCACCTCACTGGAAAAATCCTCTATAACAATTCGGTTTTGGATTTTTTCCACTGTATCGTGCTCAAACATTGCAGCAAAAACTGGAGAACGAGCACCTAAAATAGCTCGATGGGCTTGGAAATCTGTTCCATGAACACTGAGAGTAACATCGGTAAATTTCTGGTTGTCCAGAAGATTCTTGAAATCGCGAGTTAAATCGCCAATACCGTCAGTTTCTTGAATAAACTGTTTAATAGACGGCTGTGTCACGTTGTCTTTTGGACATTGATTGGTCTCGCTTACTATTTCTTCAACGTCCATCGCGCAATGAATGGTCAAAGTTCCCTTGCGAAGAAAAATGAGCTGATGCTTATCGAAAATACTGCGTTCGAAAGCCGCATATACTCTACTGCATTCTTTCATAGTTCGTTCGCACGTATGATGAAGTCTGTCTCTCGTGTCCAGTAACGAAAATGACACTTTTATCGTAATGTCTTCCTCTTTTTTTATTTTAATTTCGTCCGTCGGTATTCTACATAAACAAACACCGAACTGCTGGGCAAAATTCATTTTATCTGGGTCAGAAGACAGCAATAAACAAAACTTGGCGTTCGGAACAGGTCGGAAAGTGAAGAAATCACTTCTCGCATTCTTTTTGTCATTGATAATTACGGAGCAATGCACGTTCCATCTAAATACGTCTTTCCTAGTGAGCACACCACATTTGCTGAAGCAGCTGACATCTTGCAAATCGCTATCCACTTCTTCAGGATCCATCGCAATAATCTGCCACTAAAGCCTCTAACGACGACAGATACTGTTTTAAGAAATTTCAGGCTCTAGCTCGCGCACTAACGCTCCAGTCCACCCGTTTCCCTGATCCAAGGACGGTCAAGTGTCATCCAGCGCAGAGAATTACGTAAACATGATAAACAGCAACCTTGGTTGGCAGCAGGTTTAATTTCAGCTGATCGGGATATGACGTAGCTGCAAGCGGGCTCTTTCGTTTTAACACTTTTTTTTTTTTTTTTTTTTTTTGGAAGGGGAGGGGGATTGAGTAAAACTAGAATATCATATTACGATATGCGACGTAAAAAAAAAAAAAGAGCGTCTCATTTAGCGCAGCGTGTTATCTCTTTCAGTTGCATCGAATAACTTGCTTCTGTTAAATTTTCGCCGATGCTGCTGCTAAGTGTTTGCAAAATCTGTTCCTCTCAGTTCGTTGAGTTTACAATTTGATAGCAGTTTTGCTGAATACAGAGACCGCTTTTCCTGATCAAAAGAAACTCCAAGAAATAATTTAATCAAATGACGTATATCTTCTTAATCTTGCCGATGCCTCTGATATGTTTCCATAAGTCTCCTGCCGCTCCAGTCATACACAATTCGGTATCAGTACTCTTGAATCACGATAAATTGTTAAGACATAGTTCATGTTTTTTCTACGAAATGTAAATATTAACTTAGAGAACGAAGTTGCTTGTTTTGTAATGAAAAAGATTTCATGTCCCGCTTTTATTGCTTTTGAATGAATTTTGTTACCAGTGTGTTTAAAATAACTTGCTAACGCATGTTTAATAAAGGTGGTCAAATAAATATTAATACAAAATATATTAATACTTCATAGAGTTATTATAAAATATAATTATATTATCAGAATAAATTTAACAAATTTTATGAAAATGATGCTATTTTTCTACTGAACGGAAAGTGCTCTGAATTTCAGCACTTTCCGTGACTTGAAATATTCTCTGTGTGTGCTGAGATACTTTGTGCTTGCTTATAAAGCGCAAATCGTTTGTTTAAGCTTTTTTTTACATTTTTTGATGGCCCGTTACTGTTCAAATACCATGTGACATATTTTTCGCAAAGCTAATGTGGCTCTAATGTATAGCTTAATAGGGACAATTATAATATATAGCTTAATAGGACTGCGCTCCAAACTGAATATCCGAACTAAATATATAAGGTATTTTCACCCTGCTTCCAGCATGCCTTCGTGTTAGCAAAGCGCGTATTCGAGAGGTCCAGGTTCGAGTCCCGGCGAGGGCATTGCTCCTTTTTCATGTCTCCTGCTTCAACAAAACTTTATGACTATACAAACAATAACTCTATCTAACTCTCATTAAGTCAGTTCTCATGTACGCTGTACCAGTCTGAAAAATGAAAGAAAATAGAGTAAGTAAGGCTCCAAAGTAAGGGTGTATGTATGATATCATACTCAAAGCTCTGTGTTTATTAGAAACACACAAACTCCTAGTGAGATGAAAATTCTAAACATCCGTGATTTCATATTGACTACAGCGAATAGTTTCAACTAGCTGGCCTAGTGGACTACTACCTTACACTAGATAATTCAGCTAAATTTCCTCAAAATATTCACCCTCTAGAGAAATAGTAATTAGTTATGATACATTATCTGTTTGTATGCATTACATTTACATAATAATGTTATAAAGTACTTTCTCCCTCCCTTCCGCATGTCTTACTGGTGCAACTGGAAGCACACTCAACGCGTATTCCGGAGGTCCGGAGTTCGAATCCCGGCGATTTCTTCAGTTTCCTCACATCGAAAAATTCTGAAAGACAAGTGAAAAGAGGGTACACAATAATTCGTTACCAGCAGGATTTAGAGAATGTGTTCCCCAATCACTCTTTATAAGATACTTTCTGCCCCCTTTCCACATAACTTCATGGTGTAACTAAGCACGCTCCACGCACACTCGACGCATGCCGGGATTCGAATCCCGCCGAGGGTATTCCACATATTTCACGTTCTGTCATTGATATAACTTCATGATTTGACAGTGCTTTTATTTTCACTTGTTAGGAAATTTTTGTACTCAGTAATATTCAAGTATTAATTGTTTGTAATTTTCATGCTCTGCAGCCTTATATTTTTCATGTTTCGCCCGATCATTTAGTGTCACTTTTGGCTTTTTTAAGCTAATATTTCCAAAAAGGCACAATTTCCTGGCTAATAATCATTCCATCTTCCCATAAATGGTCATCTTTTAATGCTCACCAGCTGAAACGTTGAACAAGTCAATTATTCGAATATCCACCAGCACGAAATTATCTCTGAAAGGCCTCTATCTATTTGTTACCCAGCTTCACAGGAAATTCCTGTCTTGATAGTTAGACTGCCAAAATAGCTGTATCCAGTGTATTATTGCCTATCAGATTCTCTTCACATATTCAATGCTCTCCGTAGCGACTCAGAGGCAAAGCGCCTTCATTTTCCTCTTTTTATGCAATGTATATGGTATTGCATACCATCCAAAACATTATTAACGTTGTTTTACTTTCATTAAACATTGTTTTTACGTTCTCCGTTTAAAGTTAAATAATAAACGAGACCTTGTTGAAAAGAAAAGTGTTTAAAAAAAAAAAAAAACTAAAAAGTCATCGGGTGGGGGAGGGAAGATATTTAGTTTTTATTTTTGCATTAACTAAGCTAAAACATTCGGAATGCAATTATGCTCGATATCATATTGAATTTTCTCGTGCGTCCTCGACAGATGATGTACTACTGTCTTTATAGATAAAATTGTGGTTATACATTTTATAGGGATTTGACATTTGATACATATGCGGCGGACCACATAGAGATAAGTAAATCGTGTATGCGGCCCCTGCAATTCATTGCTTCCAGCCTTATGATGTGTCACACGACATGTTTTTGACATCGCAGAGACATAACTTCATGACTAGTGGTAGATTTTTAACGTTCTGCACCGTGTCTGTCGTCAAAGCCTCTCGATTTCAGGAGGGGTGACGAACCAATGATCTGATTTTTGCTCTGATATCGTTCCAGATATAACGAATCAGAGGATGTAAAAATACTAATGTAAAATTACGGAGGCACGGCTAATTCAGTCTGAAGAATTTAAATATTGGAGTAACATAAGAGAACGCTCCTGAACTCTCGACTAGAGAGACCTACATGCTCTTGAACTCTCAACTAGAGAGACATTTGTTAGCAGACTCCCCACACTACGAGGACTGTAATTCATTTAAATACTTATCTATGCTATCTATGAATTATATATATATGCTTGTAAAGAGCTTCTCGTAATTGTACTAAATATTTTTTGAGTTTAAAATGAAGTAAGAGTTAAGCAACCTCACAAACTTACCCAATAATTATAAGGAGTCAGATACGCTACCTGCCGCCACTCAACACAGGGTAACTTGACAGTCACTCCCACAGTAGTGACACAACCCTCCACATACATAGGAAACTTATTGAACACAAATTCTGCTTATGATCTCATTATCTAGGATTTCTCTATTACTTAAGATCGTAGACTTAAGAGCAATGAAGGTTTAAATCTATTGATTTAAAAATCCGTCATTGTTTATAACTACACCATAGCTAAAAAGTCGAACTATATTACCTAACAGTGAAAACGCAAAACCATGAATATTTTTCGGTAGCATTAACAGAAACTGCAAGAAATTCGTAGTTTTATCGTCTATTCGAATAATCTAAAATTCAGACTGGTTACATGGTTAGTGTGCTAGATAAAAAGGAAGAAAAGGATCAGATCAACATACATTATTGATAATGTCCCGTCGATGAAAACCTATTTTTCTTACCAGTTTGGCCTTTCAAAGGTTAAAACAATTCCAGGAAGACACCGCTGAAGAAATTTTCATTTCAAACTTAAAAAAAAAATGGTTTTACTTTAGACCTACGTACTGGTGTCGTCATACCGTCATATCACGGTATTACCCATGTATTCGTCGATTATGCTTAGAATTTGGAGATGATAGACTATTCATTACTTTCGCCATTCTGCAGTGTAGAAATCTTTGGATGTCCCAACATCAACGAGAATAATTTTGTTAAGTTGGCTGAAATAATTTGCAATTAAACCGCCCTTGCGAAGACCGCCTTCGATTTGCCCGCCACCTGAAATATTGCTTTAATGTCGAGATCGAGCTTCTTGTGTAATTATTCATACAGAATAATATTTAGTGAACAGCCTTATTTCTTGTTTACTAGCTAACGATAGTAGCAAACGAAAATCTGGAGGAGATTAGCTAAAACTCACTATGAGAAAAATTATTGAATAGCTCTGCATTTGCAAATGAAATTTAGGGAAAATTATGCCAGACATGTTTTCGTATTTAGTGATTTTTAGCATTAGTGTTAATAATACCTATTTTTTATTTTGTTATATTTAGTTCTTAAGCAAAACTTACCCTTTGGTACGCGGAAAGTAAAATCCTTTGTAACTGTTATTGTTTTTGCTCCATTTTCTCCTGCTACTTGAATCGGCAAACTGATTGTTTTCGTACAGCCATAAAATGCGTCTTCTAGTGATAATGAAAATGAATGCTCTTGATCTGGACCTTGGATTGGTTTGGCAGGTTCTTCAAAAAACTGATAGCTTGGATCCAAATTAGGAAGATAGTAATCGGCAAAAGGATTATCCACGCCGAAGAAATCTCGGAATACCTTCATGAAGACGAGTTTACTTGTTAGAATACGTTTATCAGTGATTTTTTTATACTTTATAATAAATCGAAAGTTTTTGTTAGTAGGTAAGGGACTAAAATCATCGTACGTTGCATTCTTGATGTGTATAATGGTCAGTATACTGTCTGATAATTATAAACTACTAGAAGGCTTGAAGAAAAGCTTCCTAATTATTTTACCGAAACTTCCTTAGAAAATTTATGAATGCTCAATTCCCACCGGTACAGAAAATTGTATAATAACCAATGGGTTATACAAGACCCAGTAGATGTTTAAAGAAATTTAGAGGGAATTACACGCATTTGGGAGAGATCTAAATATCTTCTCTGAAAATAGTCGCGCGCATCTCCTTGCAGAGGCTTAGTGAATGTGTTTATTATAAGGCGAGCATATGGCTGCGTCTTTAAGTGCTACGTCATGTTCTACGTCTTTACGTTTAAACAAATAAATTGGGACTGAAAGTATTAGAAGAGGCATAGAAAACTCACCTTCACTGAATCTCCATGATATGTGTATATTTCAATAGGCCCTTCTGCTTGATCTATTTCTGGTGGGACTGGAACTCCAGTTTTGATACTTTCCTCTCCAAATTGATCATATAGAGCTTTCCATTTTGGGGTAGTCAGTACATCATAAGCTTCTCCAATTGCTTCAAAACGTTCCGAAGCCTTTGGATCATCACTTCTAAAAGATTTCAGAGGGATATATAAGCTTTATTCGTGAATTATGGTGGTACTTTTTTCTGATGACCAAGTATAAATATTTAACCCTTTCGCTGTGACTGTCACGTATACATGGCAGCAAGTAACGTACTCATTTCTCGGCCGACACGCTGGCGAGTCAGAACGTTTTCTCGCTCACCCCCGGCCGTCACCCAGTGTCCTGGAACGTTTTATAAACTATTTCTTTTGGCACAAGATGGCACTGTGTGTCCATATGGTTTCAGATACACGTAGATTTGACCTTCTACTCAAAATGAGAGTAGCATGACCCCCATACACGTGGTTTTTGATTATATAAACATAAAGGAAAAGGAATGTTTTCGAAATGGCATGCTTTATGACGGCTCTTTAAGCTATCGATGTTAAAATTAGCGTTTAAATACTTTTTCCTTTACTTTACATGAAAATATATTTTTTAAAAAAAATTGCTCACTTTGAATGAAAAATAATTTTGGAAGCGCTATTCAAATTATTCCAAAGTTTTAATAGATAAAATACATTAATAAACTTTTAAATTATTTAAAGTAAAGTAGTAGAAAGTATCTTTGCAAAAAGTAATATCTTTCACGTGACTGACTAGACACTCAGTGAGCTAAGTCTCTGAGAAAATGCTCATATGAGAATCACTAGAAATACCGCTTTCTAACTTTTTAGGAAATGAATCATCACTCTCATTCATATCACTAATTGGGTCATTTTTCATTCGTGTGATAAAAAACGCTTGCTTGCCATAATAAATTGAAGTGTTATAAGGTATATTCGTAAACTGAAGGCTTTCCAAAATAAAAGCAATGCAAAACGTAATAGAACCTCACATAGTAACCCTAAAAGACTCCACATAGTAGCAAAAAAAAAAAAAAAAAAAAAAAAAAAGAATACAAAAAGGATTCGAAGGGATAATAGAAACGCAAATGTTTATATCACGAGAAAACGCTCTGGCCGCCAGCGTCCCGATCGGGAAGTGAGTGCGCTTCTTGCTTCTTCATGGTTTTAGGCTTAATAGCAAAAAACCCTCCGGCCCTGGACAGACACTCGCGAAAGAGGACTGCCGGCCTCAGAAACAAGCGCGCGTTTGCGCTTCTTGTCGCGAAAGGGTTAATTAAGTAAAGCCTGGCAAATCGTAAAAAAATTTCCAATGATCAAAGTATGAATATTTGAATATTAAATCAAATCTGCATTTCATGTCAGCACATCCTTATAATGCGTGCTTAATTAAAAATGCACAGTGAGTGTAGAAAATTTTGATAAAGCTATGATCTGGAAAAGTATCTTTAATTACAACTATAAATATAAATTCTATAATAAGAATATATATATATATATAATGGAATCTATTTTGCTGCTTCCATGTGAAAAATAACATGAAAATAATTGCATACATAAGTAAAATATTTACAAAACAAAAAAAAAAAATCCATCAATTTATGGTGTAAAAAAAGTATTCGTACATTACAAACTGCGTTGAATATTTTCATAAATATAGTATTTAAGATTAGGACTTGTAGGTTATACCTTAACCTTTGAGGCTCCTTGCATTGATTCAGTCATATTTCCTGTTACTGAGATAGATATGGAGTTTCATTCTTGTTTAAGGGGAATTATTAAGTCATTTTTATTAGAAATATGCCTGGATATAACGTTTTTATCAAGTATTTCCCATACATTCTCAACGGGATTGAGATCAGGTGATTGAAGTGGGAATTTCATAAATTTCGGGTAATATATAATATTCTCAATTGTATGCTTAGAGCTGTAAGTTTAGGGGCATTATCATTCATTAAAACATAATTACCATTCAAACCCATTTTTGTCGGACTAGACCGCAGATTACTTTTTTAAATACCAAAATAAGCCTACGATTAATAGCACGTATGTGTAATTTTGACAGGACTACGAGCAAGATTAGAAATTAGAAGTGTAGGAGGATTTTAGGATTTATTTATATGAATATGTAAAAAATGAATTATAATCTCCCTGTTACTTCATATGAACCTCCATCATAAAAGTCTATAAAAATATAAAATACGATAATATTTTTAAATAAATAAAACACATTTTAATACGACGATTGCAACTTCATGGATGCTCCAAGATGGTCAATAGTCAGTGAAATAGCTGAAGCTGAAACTACCAACTTGTATTTCATCAGTAAGTCACGCTTTTGTTCGGATTTCACGAACTTCATCTTGAAAAACTTTGCTCGAATTTATAGATGCTTCCAAATAAACTCATATTTTCTGGGACAGAGTTGTCAGTTTTGGAAATTTGTCACATGGGAAACAGTTTTCATAAAAGTCAGTTAGTGTAATATTCTTGATTTTTCTCTTCGAAACAAAGCTTTCGTGCAATTCGAATAATTCCATTTGTAAGGAAAGGGCGGTAGTTCAACATCAATATCAAACACAGAAGAGAAAATTCGTAAGAAGTATTCATAAGTTAAATAAATTGGAAATAAGTGTTTTGTAAGAATTTGGCCACACAGACTCCACACAAACCTCGCGCGTATAGTTATTCCAATCCACAACTGTTCCGTGACTGATTTCTAGATGTTTTTCACATCATTTAACTGAAGTTAATTCTTAGCTCCGACCATAAATAAACCTCACACACTTCAAGAAACTCACTTTGGATTACTCAAATTATGTGCTTTTCCGTATATTTCTTTTACTGCGACAAGTTGAAAGGTTGCAGCGCCATTGAATTTCGTCTCCGAAATACAATTTCTTTTCATGATTATTATCACAAGTTGCAATTTTAGGCATAACGCCTTTCGTTTGAAAGAATCTGACAGGTTCTTCCTCTGGTTCTGGGCAATGCCCAAATTTTCATTGGTTTTTCATCCATTTTTGACGTATTAGGAAAAAGACGTTAATTTAAGAATTTACTATGTTTCGTGGTACAACATCCTGATTCGCCGGTTCATATCACGTGACTCTAAGTGATCTCATCTCACGTAAACTACAATATAAAAGTCTAATTCTCTACATTAATTTCAAGTTAAATCATAATATGGAATACAAGTTTAAATGCAAGAATTATTTCAGTTCGTACGAATTGCTTACTCAGAAATAATGTCAAGCAGCAGTGCTTTACTTCGCTAGTGCATTGTCATTAGAACGGATGAATTTAACCCTTGACTTCACCTTTTCTATATTTTCGCCTTCGGGTGAGCAGTGTGATTGCACCCTAATTGACTTAAAAACCCCAAACGGCCTTAGGGCATGAAATTGAACTATCTGGTAAAAATTCTATGTAATTGTATTTCAGTATTGAAAGAAACAATCAACGATCAATCTGATAAGAAATGGCCGCGACATGTTTTAAAAATGGGGCGTAAAAGGTTACCAACGGCGATATTCCGTTTGATGTCGGTTGTACCAATTTTGGAGATTTTATCGTCTGTGTCGACGAAATGGAAAAGTACCCTTTTACCTTTTCATCTTTAAAAAATTGCTAGTTTGCACCTACTGTGGTTCCGTTAGTACGTAAGTACCCAATATTTAGTACAAGATATATGTAAATAAAATTTAAAAAATACAAGTTTCCGAAAACGAATGGGAGCCACTATACGTCCTAGCAATTAAATCAACTTTCATACTCCTGACGATCAAGGCTCCCGTATCGTGTTTCACCTCATATTTCTTTTTAACCAAAGATTCAAATTACGTATTTTCCCCGCCTTTTTTTTTTTTTTTTTTCAGGAAATTTATTTACAAAAGTTTTGCAAAACTCACCAAATCTTTTGCTGAATTAGCCAAGAGATTGTTTCACATGAAGTCGCCAATGTTTAAAGTCCTTATAATGTTTATATTTTTAAAAAGTAAAAGAAGGATTTTTTTTTAAACTGGCAACGATAATTCAAATTCCAAATATATAACGGTTTTTATTATTATTGTATTTGCCCTAAATATGAAAATTTGGGACTTACCCAATGATGAAACATTCATCATACAGTTTCTTCAGGAAGAGAAATTATTCACTCAGAAAAAAGTACACAAAAAGCTCAGCTTCAATTCGAAGGATGCAGCGGAATCAAGAGGTGAAGATATGGTGTGTCCAGAAAAGAAAAAAAGGATTACGTTCTCAAAGAAACTGATTTGAAGGATCGAGAATGAGTTTCTTAACGGAAATTCGTTTCATTTATGTATGGTGTTTAGAATTAACTTCCCTTGAATTTGGTCAGTATCAGCTTGATATGAATCATTGCACTGTTGTTGACTGGAGCAGTTACATAAAGAAAGTCTGTGGTCGTGCATTAATATCTAGATCATCAATTAAAATAGGCGGCAGTGATAATACCGTCGAAGTTGTGAAAGCCTTTTTTTCGGGTCGAAAAAACAATGTTGGTCGTATCTTTCCGCCCCAGTTAGTGAACGGCGAGATTTACCAAGAAACAAAAATGGATTTTTAGTAGCCCCTTTGCCAGAACTTTGCTTAAAGTTATTGAAGAAAATATTATTGATGGCACTGTAATATTCTGAGACTGTTGGAAAGGGTATGACACTGAAGAATTAACGTACGCCGCATCTGAACATTTCTGCGTTAATCATAAATATAATTTTATCGATCTCGATACTGATTGTCAGACTATTGAAAGGTTATTGGGGGAAGTGTGAAATAAACGTCAACGCAGCACTACCCGTAACCAATTGGATTCTTATTTAATTGAGTCTACGTGGCGGCAAAAGCGTCCTAAAATGCAAATGTTTTCAGACATTTGAACTGATATCCGCAGTTTCTTGACTCCGCGTTAATCTTAATTCGCTAACCAAATTTTTCCCTCTGATTTCTTTGGGAAAATGTTTTACATTGAAAATTTCTAATTTTACGATCATCTGTTACACCATTTATTTCCCTTGAAATTTTTTTTTGGTACTTTTCCGTTTTGCCAGCGCAGGCGATAAAGTCGCCAGTAATGGTACAACTGATGCCGAACGAAATATCCTCGCTAGTAACTTTTTACGTCTTATTTTCAAAACAAGTCGCAGCCATTTCTTATCAAATTGATTGTTTCTTTCAATACTGGCATACAGTTACATAGAATTTTTACCAGATAGTTCAATTTTATGCCCTAAGGCCATTCGCGGGCAGTAACTAATTCAATTAGGATGCAATCACACCGCTCACCCGATGGCGAGAATATAGAAAAGGCAAAGTCAAGGGTTAAATTCATCATCACTACTGGATCTTGTTCGCAAGAAGCGCATTTACACATCAATATTAAGACCCATCCTTAGATATGCCTCCCCTGCGTGGTGCTCTGTTCCCACCTCCGTACTAAAAAAATTGCAGGTTTTCCCAAACAACTACTTACGAAAAATCACAGGAGACCCCTTTTTCGTTCGCAGTGAACAGCTACACAGAGGCCTGAAACTCCAAAGTCTGGCGTTATACATCAATAAATTAAACGATATTTTTTTCAACAAAGCCATCACCAACGCGGAGGTAAATTATTCAGACAATTTTAAGTACGAGTTACTAGAAATTTACATCAATTTAAAGCCCTATGCAACCCACATTTATCGGAATCCCCCATAAATAATCTTAACTTCTTCCAGCCAATTTCGAAGTATCAAATTATGACATTTTCATTTACACTGGCCTGGGCCACATCAACACAATCTTCCTGCAGTTACATGTCAAGGTATTTCTGCGAAGCACTGTATGTTATGTCTCCTCTAACCGAGGTTATTTGAGGTGCCTGTAATAGCGGGATATAATTCCTGCTGAAACAGGCATATCAAAAGTATCAATGTATCTAAGTAAATTCATCAATTAATTAAGTTTAGACATTTTAATTCTGATGAGAAGGCACTAGCGAAGTAAAGCACTGCGGTTTTAAATAATTTCTGAGTAAGCTATTCGTAAGAATTGAAATAATTCTTGCATTTAAACTTGTATTCCAAATTAAGATTTAACTTGAAATTAATGTAGATAATTACTGAGAGAATTAGATTTTTGTAGCGCAGTTTACGTGAGATAATATCACTTGGGGTCACGTGATATGAACCGGCGAATCAGAATGTTTTACCATGAAAGCATAGTAAATTCTTAAATTGTCTTTTTAAAAATTTATTGTCTTTATTTATTGGCTTTTCTACAAAATGTTAAACGACATTAAAAAAAATTAAAAATTAAAATTTCTTGGAACTAACATTTGTCTACATTTTTTATGTGTTATACTGTGTGTTGTCGCCAATAAAGTCTGCTTGGCGAGATTTTGTTGGCGACAACATACGGTATACACATAAATAATGTTACTTTTTCGCCGGCGCTAATCTCGCCAAGCAGACTTTATTGGCGACAACACACAGTATAGACATAAAAAATGTTAACAAATGTTAGGCCTAGGAATTTTTTAATTTGAATTCATAAACATTTTAATATGGTTTAAAATTTTGAAAAAAGCCAATAAATAAAGATAATAAATTGTAAAAAGACATAATTAAGAATTACTTTGCTTCATGTTCAACATCTTGATTCACCGGTTCGATCAGTGATTCAAGTGATCTCATCTCACTTAACTGCGCTACAAAAATCTAATTCTCTCTAATTATCTACATTAATTTCAAGTTTAATCTTAATTGGAATACAAGTTAAATGCAAGAATTATTCAATTGTACGAATAGCTTACTCAGAAATATGTAAAACCCCAATGTTTTACTTCGCTAGTGTATTCTCATTAGAATAGATGAATTTAACCCTTGATTTTGCCTTTCCTATATTTTCACCTTGGGTGAGAGGTTTGATTGCTATCTAATTGACTTAATTACTGCGAATGTTCTTACAGCATAAAATTCAGCTATTTTGTAAAAATTTTATGTAATTGTATGCCAGTATTGAAAGACAATCAATCTGATAAGAAATGGCTGCGACTTGTTTTGAAAATGAGGCGTAAAATGTTACCAGCGAAGATAATCCGTTTGGTATCAGTTGTACCATTATTGGCGGCTTTATCGTTTGCGCCGGCAAAACGTAAAAGTACCCGATTATTTTTATGCCTCGAATGTTTCGCCAAATCTTCAACATTTGGCAATATCTGAATCTGGTCCCGATAGCATAACATTACCCAATTTTACTGTGGAGATGCATTTTTATTAACTAAAGAACCAACAACAAACACGTTAAAAAACAACCAAGATCTAAATATGAACTCCAGAATATGAAAACATTCCGTTGAGTTAACTAAATATTCAGAAAAACTGAACTTCAAATAAAACTATTTGCAGTTTAGTTTTTTTGCAGATGATAAGTATAGTAAAAATATACGTCCGGGTGCGCCTTGGCGAAAATTGCCGATTTTTGGCGGTACATGGATACTGAGTTTGCAATTCTTTGAGTTGTTATTTTGACTTTGTACAGCGGCGATTATTGCGCTACTACACAAAGACAAAATAATAAGTCAAAGAATTGCACAAACTCGGTATCCATGTACACATCGACCTATTTTCACTTAAAAAAATCAGAGGATTGCACAAACTTGGCATTTTGCACTCCCTTGACTTTATCCATGTACACATCGACCTATTTTCCCTTAAAAAAGTCAAAGAATTGCACAAACTTGGCATTGCGCACTCCCTTGACTCCATGTACACATCGATCTATATTCACTTAAAAAGTCAAAGGAGCAGCCAACAAAAAATTTATAATCTCATTAAACTACATTTTAAATTAAGCAATCAAATAACATAAAAAAGGAAATTCATTTTAGCTCTACAAAAAGGAAATATCCACTAACCTTATTTAGAAATTTCCGTTTCTTCAGTCAAACAAAATTCCTTAACAGCACCCAAAAACTTCTTAAAATTATCTGAACTAGAATCTGTATACTGGCGACGCCACATAAGTTCCCAAAAATAAGAGTCAAAAATATCCTCCGTAGTGCCGGTAACCTCCGACTTTCGACCATACGCATTTTTTTCCTTCCTACAAACAGGACACTTACGATGGCTTCTAAGTAAACCTTCATTTACACACCACTCAATTAATGCTCTTTTCCCCTTTTGTTCCAAATCGTACCGAAACTTAATTAATCTTACCACATTCAACCATTCTACCGTCTAAACCACAAAGCAAGCAATGTACTTCCTAACCAACACACACCACAAGCCCTTACACATCTTTTCCCATAATTCAAAATTTACCGCAATCATGCAACCAATTGAGTCGTAATAGGGTTCCATAACATTCAACTACACAGGTTACCATAAATGAAACAACAACTTCGCGATAATACAAGAGGCACCCTCCAATCTACTCTAACCATAAATATTAAAGAAAAGCACAATAAGGAATTAATGAAACAAAGCCAATTAACGATATCTGTTATGCTATTTGTGATCGAATTGTCGAATTTGACGACGTCTTTTCTAAGAACTAGCCTAATTATTTAGAGGAAAATGTATTTTCTGGCAAAAGCTGTTTTTGAAGTTCCGGGAAGTAGCCCTCGCAAGTAATGAAAATCGAGTATAGTAATCAGCAGTGGGATATCTGTGAAGAATTATAAAATTTTGCTTTGTGTCCAAGACAGACAAGAGGCATTTAAAATGTAGTTTTTTTCCCGTTTTAAGCAGCGTTAATTGGTTACTCTTCTTTTAACTTTTTTTGCGAGCAACTTACCTTTTGGGATGATACTTTAATGCAAGTTTCCTATACGCCTCTTTAATATCCTCATCATTAGCATTTCTAGTGATTTCCAATAAACTGTAATAGTCCAAACCCATTGTCTTTGGTATAATTTCTTACTAAAAATTTTATTGCTAAAATTTAAAGTTCCTAAGCCAAATCAGTTTTTAATGGATGTTGCCAAATCAAAGAATATTAATTTCAACTAACTGAATAATAAGCTACTGAATTGGTAATTTCTCAAAATTTATAGCATACTTTATTTTCATTGACTCTAATTTTATAGTCGCATGCAATCAATAATTGTGAGAAGAAATCCAAAATTAACTGCTAACTAGTTATATAAATTGATGACCACTTAGTTTTATCAAAAGAATTTGGATTTTAGTTTTTGAATTAAATAGTATTTGCAACGGGCTCTATAAAATGGTGCCTTCAAGGAACCAGAGTAATGCTAATTGGCACACTATTGGGCGAGCAGTGGTCCCACTAGGGGTCGAGCGGTAAGATCACTGAGCACCAGTAAGTCGGCCCGGTTAAAATCCTAGCTGCTGCATGGGAGTTTTCGGGTTTTTGCCATGTGTATCATGAATTATAAGCCTATTTTCCTTAAAAATCCTCCTTGATGACCTCCTTTCCCTTAGGCATATAACCCTTGTGGGCTTTACTCTAATCCAAAATTTTAAGCTCAGAAAACTTATATCACAGCCGAAATGAGTTAATGAGGACAATATATTTTCCTTTCGATATATCAAGTTAATACATATTTAGCTTATATCTCTTCCTATAGAAAATTGTTTGGCGCATGTTTCCTGTAATGAAAATATTGACTGAAGTACTACTTCAAGTACTTTAAAAAATATTGATTGAAGTACTATTTCAAGTTAGTCCTATAAAACTTGAAGTACTACTTCAAGTTTGATAGGAAGATTTGGATATTTTTCATATATGTGAGGAAAAAATTAAGTTGTTTTTTAATATAGAAGTAATAAGATTGTTTTTTATACAGAAGATAAACGAGTTCTACATTTAAATTGTTTTAGATAGTAGACAGATAAGTAGTAGAGAGATAAAATTTAATTCTCTTGATATAATGGGGCATCGTTTAAACGTCTTTCAAAGGACCATTCATAAACGACATATAAGTAAAAAGGATCGTATAAACGGAACTTTAATTTATGATGTGAAACATACATATATATTAGCTGCACAATTTTGATATTACTAACCTACTACTGACATTACATAACTTTATTTTCGGACATTCAATTTGTTTAAAATGTTAATTATGTTCAAATAAATTTTAAAATAATTAAATAGAAATTAAATTAATAATATTAATATTAAACAATAAACATTTATAATTAAGATTTAAAATGATATTCATACAAATTTAATATTTTTAAAATCATAAAAATGCAAATTTCTGTACAAAGTCACGTAAAATTTTAAAATAAAGTCATACCTATATTTGAATAAGCAATTTTCTTTCCAAGAACATTTTGAAGCAAAATTTAACTTTTTTTTAAGAAAACAGCTAGAATTGTCCCCTGACGTGTCTTTTGATTCTGAATCTTAAGCAAAGCACTATGAATCGAATTCAGCTCTTGAAGTGTCTCCTCGCATGTAGTAGATAACATTTTGAAAAGAAGATTGGATTATTTCTGCATTTTTTTATTCATCCCCGCTACTTAAATGTTTATCTGGTAAAATGTTTCCAATCAGTTCTTTAACTGAAGTCATTACATTGGCATCACAGTTTGCGTACCCTCGATTGCAATTTCTAATCCCAGTGTTTGTAATCTGCTTCATTCATAATCATTGTTTCACAGTCCTCTTCTTCTTTTTTTTTTTTTTTTTTTTTTTTTGTCAGCACTTTTACTCGACTCTGGGTTTGAAAAATTTCCCTTTTAATTTTTTTAATTACTTTAAATTTGTTTCCTAATGCATTTTTGTTTGATATTTCACCCCATATTTACTGCCATGATAAAAGTTCTTTTTAAATTCATCTCAATTTTTGGATATTTTATTTTAGTTAGAGCTGGCAATACTAGAATTTACCTTAGCCACTTCACGGTGAGGAATAAACTAAATTGTGTTTCAGAAGAGTAAAAGCAACCAAAATTGAGAAATTAAAATAAGGTACTTTTAAATAAAACTACGTACATGATCAGGGATCAATTCACAGGATGTATGACAAAAGTTCAGAGACTTGAATCAGTATGCTGTAGTCCATGTTTTAAATCAGATTTTCACAGATTTCGAAATTTTAAAATTAATTAAAAAGGCACAAATGCAGGAAAAAGTATAATGATTGATGAATGGTGCAGAACAGAAGGTGGATGATTCAAAAATGACCTTTTATGAGCGAGGGACATAAAGTATGTCATTGTTAGCAGCTGGACTCGATCCGTTGATCTGAGAGCCTGGACCATTGCTGATAAGGTAAAAAAGTGTGATAAATTGAAGACACCTGAAATGACGAAGGAAATGTTCCTAAATTAAAAGTTGTGCATTAGAGATGATGATGTAAACAAACAATTATGTATATAGATCTAACATCTTTAATAGATGTGTTGCATAGGATAGGAATAATGTGTTGCGTAGGATCTGAAAAGTGATCTTCTGGAACAATTTCATAGTTTAGGATTTCAGCAAAATTTAATCATAATTTGTTTCAGCATTACGGCAGAAATTTTCATTTAGCTTAATGAGGTAGTGCTTACCTTAGTCAGTCTTTAAGTCTTTATGCTTATTCTTATTTCTGAGAAATTAAAGGGCTCCCTTATGAATATGAAAAAATTCCTTTTCGAGAATTTGTAGCTCTTTAATTTTATTATCCTCTCGCGTAGTGGCTTTAATGGTCAATGATAATCGCCAGTAGTGTATAGCAGACGCCAGCCAACCACACCAGCAAAGCATAACGTATGCCAAGGCGAGAGGTTACAGAAAAGTCCCCATAGTTGATGCTAAGAACTCCTCTTCCAGCCAGCATAAGACAAAAAATCAAATGCAAAAGTCGTATTAGGAAAAACTGGCAAAATACAAGAGACCAAAGGTTCAAAACTCAACTGAACGCTCTTCAACGTGACATCTAAAAGGACATTAGTAATTTCAAGACGTAACGCTGGCGAAACTTCCTCAACTCTCATGCAACTGAAGATAAGTCTCTTTTTGACATTGCAAAGAAATTTAAGAAACCCTTCAAGCAAATTCCGCCACTTCATGGTACCAACGGAATGATTTATTCAGACGAAGATAAAGCTAACACCTTTGCAGATATACTAGAAGAAACGTTTACTCCAATACTACCCATACGACAACAATATATCTCCAAAGTTAATGATACTGTTAATACCTTCTAAAAATCCAGGTCTTTTAACTTTACATTCTTCCACGCCTAGCTGTTGCAGATTGTATTAGCTCATTAAAACCCAGGAAAAGCTCCTGTGTTGATGGTATTTCCACAAAGCGTTGAAACATCTTCATCAATGCCCACTTGTCTACTAAGAAATCAATCTATCATCAAATTCTCTTTCCTATTATATGGAACATGCCATCATCGTCGTATTCCCAAAACCGCATCAAATTCAACGTTCTTCGAAATACCGCCCAATCAGCCTTCTCAGTCAACTTTCTAAAATAGCTGAAAACTTATTCTTATCATCTTAATCAATTATTCCACAGAGCTCCTCATTCAGAAGAACAGTTAGATTCCGTAAATTCACAGTACTAATCACCAGCTGCGTCGTGTCATCGCTATATACTGACGGTTTCAATTGTAAGTTCCCTAACGGAGCCATTTTCCTTGATATTGCGAAAGCTTTTAGATAGGGTATGGCACCGGGGACTATATACAAACTTACAAGTTAATTCCCCGTCACTGTCTAGACTTATTGCTTTCTACTCCAAGACAGAATCTTTGCAGTGAAAATTGGCAGTTCTGTTTCTTCCACGAAAAAAAAATTCCTGGGCCCCAAGGATCGTACTTTCTCCGTATTATATAACATTTACATTACGATATTCTAAGGTCTCACAAATTACATTGCTCTTTCGCTGATGATACGGCAATTATGACCAGCTTCTACTGTTACTGATGTCCAGCTCTTTCTTCAGAAAATTGGCTCACTCTTTGGAGGATTGCAGTTAATACCGAAAAATCAAAAGCAATAATTTTTCGCAAAGGCCAAACAAATTTCACTCCACCTAGACCTTTTCTGTTTGATGAAGAAATTGCCTGGGTTGACGAAGTTAAATACCTAGGAGGCAAATCTTGATTTAAAAAAAAAATTGACTCATTTTCTGTTTATGTGACACTAAATTAGTTTTAAAAGTTAACTAAAATGCATTTGTGAGGAAAAATATTTCAACTACTTTCGGATTTGATTGTGTATGTGTATTAGACAATGTAACTTTGCTCAAGAAAGAGACTTATGGATATATTATTATATGATTTGCACATATACTAAATGATAGCCTATTCTCGAAACTTAGATGTTAACTTGAACATGACAAATAGGTTAAGCCCTAGGACACTGTTTAACCCTGTGCCCTAAGACAAATATTACGATTCGTAAGAAATGGCCATATCAAGGCCAATGTAGCCTTGGCTACTAATGTTTAAAATTAATTTATGACTAGTAACAGCATGAATTATAAACAAATAGCTAAGTTATTGCATTTTATTTTCCAGCTATCGAAATGCTACGCTACGAGCAACGTTTTGAAACCAAAACCTAGCAATCATGAATCAGAACTAGAACTAGTTGCCATTCAGCATAAAGAAATTTAAATATAAATATGAATATGAACAAAATATTATAGTTAATTTAAAAATAATTAAATATATGAACAAAAATATGAAATAAAAAATAATTATTTCTCATGCAATAAACTGGACCACTACATACTCCCCCACCAGTAACTAAGTTCGTTACGAAGATGGAGAAATAGTAGTAACTAGTATTGCAGTGTTAACCACTGTCAAAATAATTAGTCAGTCCTTGAATCTAACAGGTAAACGTATAGTTCTGCCTGTGCGAGAATGTTTTGATTCACATCGAATTTGAGTCCGGTCTCTGCAAATTAGTGTGTCAGGTTGTATCAACTGAGAATTTTCTCAGCTAAAAT